CATCTCCCAATACTGTCACTCTGGGGAATCAAACCTTTCCATACAGGTCTTTGGGAGGGAGATACTCATTGAAATCATAGCAACTCAAATCATATACCTAGATAATTCAGTCAATTCTGTTGCTGACCTGAATGTGGATGAATATCTTCCCAAAATTTCACCTCAGAACTAGGGGACAATAATTGATCATCAAATTTAATTGCTTCTTGAGGCCACACCTAAAAGCTGATAATAAAACCTGTCAGTAGAGTCAAAGAGGCTTGTATTCCCATTTGCTTGTTAGCAGTGTATCTTCTTTATTAAATTATGGAGATAAAAGTTAATAAAGAGACCTTAAGGCTACTTAAAATGTACCAGTTACATGACAACTAAATGCAATTTGCGATACTACACTTGAAAAATCAACAAAACTGCAATGTAGACTGAAGATTAAAGTTTTATATCAATGTCACTGAATCTAATAACTGTACTAATGATATGTCAGATGAGATTTGTTCTTAAAAATGATAATGTATCAGGAGATAAAGGAGCTTGTATATGAATCCCACTCTCAAATGAAACAGGAAAAAATAATCTAGACAGAATGATGAAGCAAATGTGAAATGTCAATAATTAGCCAACCTAGTTAATCTAGGGGATATGGAAATCTCAGTACTATTATCTGTAAGTTTGAAATTACTTCAAAATTAAAGGTTAATAAAAGAACAAGCTGAACTTAAACTCACTAATGCCAAAGCTTTAGTAATGTTCATACTCCAGCTATTGCTATGAATAATAAAGTCTCATGTTTTCTGCTACCATCTCTGAACTATGGTAGGTTAACATGTAAATTAAAATCACAGACCCTTCAGTTCTTGACACGAAGCACTTTCTGTAATATTATCTTAATAGGACTTTTATCTTTTTTTCACCCCTATGTACACTGAGAATTAAACCCAAAGATGCTCTGAAACTGAGATGAAATCTCCAGTTTCCCCTCCCTTTTTTTTTAAAATTTTTTGACAGGGTCTTGCTAAATTGCCCAAGTTGGCCTTGAACTTGCAAGCCTCCTGCTGCTGTTTCCTGAGTTGCTGGCTTTATGGCTGGGTGCCACCTTGCCCTACTTCATTAAATCTTATCAATAGCCCTAAAGTTATGCAAAACACTCCATGTTACAAGCATTCCATAAATAGTAGCTAATACTTATATCACCACAACTATTAATTTTACTTAACAATCCATAAACTCAAATCAACACCATCATCTTACAGCCATCAGGTTAATTTGCCAAGAGTTTGTCACGCAAGTGATAGGGCTGGAATTTCAGTTCTTTTCACTATTACCAGTCATCTCACTTTAAAATCATGAACTCGGGGCTGGGGATGTGGCTCAAGCGGAAGCGTGCTCGCCTGGCATGCGTGCGGCCCGGGTTCGATCCTCAGCACCACATACCAACAAAGATGTTGTGTCCGCCGAGAACTAAAAAATAAATATTAAAAATTCTCGGGCTGGGGATGTGGCTCAAGCGGAAGCGTGCTCTCCTGGCATGCGTGCTGCCCGGGTTCGATCCTCAGCACCACATACCAACAAAGATGTTGTGTCCGCCGAGAACTAAAAAATAAATATTAAAAATTCTCTCTCTCTCTCTCTCCCCCCCTTTAAAAAAAAATTCTCTCTCTCTCTCCCTCTCTCTCTTTAAAAAAAAATAAATAAATAAAATAAAATCATGAACTCATACAGTGAAATTAGTTTTTATATTATATCTCAATATATATTCTCATATTCATTCTTCAGGTATGTATATCTTCTATGTTCCAGGCACTTTGCTGAGGTGGGAGAAATAACAATGAATAAGAAGTGTTCTCTGTCTTCAAAAAATATTATAGAGGAAATATACATCAAAACAAAATAATTACTCACTTATAATGTTATTATAGAAGCAAACAAGGGACTGAGATGGAGAACTGGAGGATATACTCTTAAACTATATGTTATCAGCTGGGAATAAATCCAATGAGTTCCAACTACCATTTTTGAAAAATGAAGTAGTATAAAGTAAAAAAAAGTGAACACGTACACATTATAAGTACTATTTGTTAAACCTTTATCTTGCATAATGGGTCATGGCATATGCAAAGTGCATTTCTTTTAGACACAGAGAATAATCTATGCAATGAGAATGAAAAGACCTTGATGGGTTAAAGAGATAGAAAATAACATTTTGGTTAGACCTTACAGAAAGAATAGAGAGGCGTGAATTTAAAAAGATGTTTAAGTTCTGGTGTAGAGTTTGTGAAATGTAGAAGGATAAGTAATATGATTTGATTTACATTTTAAAAGTCATTTTTTTGATATATGTGAAAGGGAGGAATAAATAGAAACAAACCCATAAGAAGTCAGTGTAGATAATGGTGGCTTGGTTTGGGATAGGGAGAGGAAGAAGCAGTAATGGGAAAGACTGTTTGGCTCCAAGATGTATTTCCGAAGTTAAAACTAATAGAACTTGCTGAGGTGAAGTATAATCTAAATTTTAGTCATATCCAAATACTCTGGTTACATGAATATACCATGCTTTCCATATGTCAGTATGTCTGCACCCTCTCTTCTTAGAACACCTACACCTTGCCAACCTCCTATTCACTTGGCACACTGCTACTCATTCCCCCTTCAAGATGGAGCCCCAGCATCTTGTTTTCCACAAAGCCTCCCATGACATAAAGCCTTCTTCTTTAAGTTCTCTTTTGCATAAGTTTCTAATATAGTGGTTACAGAGTGCACTGCAATTATCTGTTCACATCTGTTCCTCAAGCTGGTCTGGAGCCACTCCAGGGCAGAAAATATTCAATTTCAACTTTGGGATAGTTGTTAGAAAACTCTAGACTCATTATTCAAAGTCTGCTGAATAGTTGTGTCATATCATATAATATTTCCTTCATTCCTAAACTAGCAAAGAGCTCCTCATTTGTACAAGTACACACATTTTTATTTATCCTCAACTTTTACTCAATCCCTCAAACACTCCATAATCAGATAAATATTTGGTTAATTTATATTGCCATATATATCCATAAATTCTTTTTTTAAATATTTTTTTCATTCTCAATGGACTTTTATTTTATTAGTTATATATGGTGCTGAGACTTGAACCCAGTGCTTTACACATGGGAGGCAAGTGCTCTACCACTGAGCTACAACCCCAGTCCGCACAAATTCTTTTTAGTGACTAGATTGTGCTTCTTGATTTCACAAATTAAACAGCAATTTATAGAAAAAAATGGTTTTTAAATTAGACAGATTTCAATTCATAAAATCACTTTAATTTACTATCCATGTGGCCTTGGGTAGGTTACTTAATATCTCTAGATCTCCATGTGTTCAATTGCATAATAATATTATGTAAACTACACCAAAGGGTTACCATGGGCTTAAAAAAGTCAAAGTAGCTTAATAACTATTTGTTCCTGTTCCTCCATCTTACTTTCTTTATGAGGAAGAATACAACCTTTGCAAAACTAAAAACAATTATGTTTCTGATCATAGCACTATTTTGACCTGTGGGTTGAGAATACAAAGCATTTACTGAACACTGAGGACCCAAACTACCTACCTCAGAGAAAGTTTACTCTCTACATTAACATGACTATTTTTTTTTTATCTTCATCAGCATAATGTAACAGTTCTGGAGACTGCTGCCTAAATAACTTGATTTTCACAGGAGCTTTATGGAAAATCTCAGTTCTTTAATAGAAAGCATCTTTATGTTGTAAGAACCTTTGCCCTGCTCTTTCCACCAATGACAAACTGTTTTATCAAGATCAGTATCCAGTTCTAATTGAGCCTTCAGACCCAATCCCCTCCCATACTCTGCTGCTGAAAGATCAGCCTTATCCCATACATAAGATTCTCAATAAATCTGATCTTGCTTTCCCAATTTAGGCACTAGGAGAAGTCTGATGAGGTGGTGTTTTGCCTTACCCCAGCAAGCAATAAACTCAGCTTTGACTTATTAAAAGGTGGTATTAGAGGAGCTAGCAGGGGACACAGCAGTACATCTATAAGCTTGAAGGCAAAGACAGAAGGATTTCCCCAAAATGCCTACAAACAGCAAAAATGAGCTAAAGTAAATTATATACCAGGCAAAATATGTCATTAATAAAAAGGAAATGAATTTGTCAAGGCCACAATGGAAACTTTCCTTGCAACAAAATTACAAAGATATTCAGTGAATTTTAAAATTTCTTTTTAATAAATTCCAGATTTATTCTGCAGTTTTTACTCATCAATGCCTCCAAATCAAAAAGGCACAGACTCATTTACTTTTGGGATTTACCAAAATATTTCTAGGGTAAATTGTCCTAAGGACTGCAAGAGAAACAACAAGCTTTTATGCTAGATCCTTTTGATAGCAACTCAGATCCATTATCAACTTCACTAAGTGTGCGGAGCATTCATTTCTTTGGAGTCTAATCATGGCCCAAAGACATTCTATCCAGGTAGTGCATCACCCAAGTAAAACATGGAAAAACGTGGATTGAAAAGCGGGGAGGGAGGCGGCTGGGGGTGTAGCTCAGTAGTAGAGCACTTGCCTAGCATGTGTCAGGAACTGGGTTCAATCCTCAGCACCATATAAAAATAAAATAAAGGTTCATCAACAACTAAAAAATACATTTAAAAAATAAAAAGAAAAGGAGCGAGGGAAGCAACAAGTACCTTTCAAAGTTTACTTTTCACCCTGAGAAAAACGATCTCTGCCTTATTCCTGACCCTCCACATGACTCTCCTCTGCACCTCGAGAGAAAAGGGATGAAGCTGCAGAAACAAACAGAGTTTCGCGGAACCGACCCTCCCACTGAGTGACCGGCCGCAGCTGCTAATGGGCTTGGGGTCCCCCGCCTCGCGGAGTCCCCGTTCCGCCCGCTCGGGGATCCGTACCTGGCTGGCAATGGATCTGCGGAAGCCACACGCCATGTCTGGCTCTGGCCTCGCTCCTCCCTTTTCTGAACGGGGCCCCGCCTCTGCACGCCGGAAGCCAGCCCCGGACGGCCACGCCAGCTAATCAAGGAGCCGAACCGCCCGCCTTTAACCTTTGCCCTGCTGCCGCGAGGGCGCGCGGGAAATCCTGAGTGTCTCCGCAACCTACCGGGCGGTAGGACCATGGCCACGTCCTCCGTGTCCAAGGTACGTCTGGGCGGGTGCTCACCCAGGCCTCACCGCCGCCTCATTCCTCTTTGGAGAAGGGATTTAGTGGAGGTTATGCAGGCCTCTCTGTTCCCTGGCTCCACGGGAGGGAGAGGCAGACAGTTCAGGCGTCTTTGCCTCAGGTTTAGTTGAGGCCAACTTTGGGGAACGAGGTCGCTGATCTGCCTTGCAATGCAGCCAGGGTGGGCTTTTAAGTCCTGATTCGTGGAGGTCGGATGCCCAGAGAATGTGCCCCGTTCTCCCCTACTTTTTCCTTCATGTTTACTGTTGCGCCAAAGCACTCCGATAGGTACCAAGATACAGAGGTAAACAAATTAGACTTGTTCCAAGAGAGACACTAACAGGCTGATGATCACTTGTGAAAGAAAAAAGTTCTGAGTGAGATGGACGAGAGAGAAGAACCTAATATAGATTGTTAAGGGTTGGCGAAGACTTTTTGGAGAAACTGACACTTTGGCTGAGACCGACAAAAAAATGACTAGAAGTTTGTCAGGCATGGGTTTTGAGGAAGGAGAACAAAGAGAACATGTTTCTTTGGCCGTGGGGGGAAGGGAGGGCAGGGACTAGACAGCAAAAAATAAAGTATTGTAAAGAAATTGCAAAGTCAGTGTCATCAAAATTGGAGAAAGTAGGAACATTAGGGAAAATGAGATTGGAAAAGTAATGCAGGTGTGAGGGCGGGATCATATAGACCTCCTTCATAAGGTAAACCTAGGTGGTAAGGGTTTGCAAGTCAAAATGTAGCGGGCAAGAAGATAAATCCTGGTGTTGTATTGTCCTATGAAGTATTCACTAGCCACATGTGGCTAAATTTAAATTTAAAATAATATTTAATTTAAAAATTCAGTTTCTCATTTGTACTAGCCACATATCAAGCACTTATTAACTGCATGTGACAATGGCTACCATGTCAGAACAGATATATGAAGTTTCTGTCATTTTGTTTTTTAACCTCTAAGTACTTTCACTTCTCTGTCCTTATGATGTTTTGTGGCTGTTGCCCTCCTTCTAGATTTCTTCCTTCGTATCTAACACCATCACTTTACTAGCAGTTCAAAGTGATTAACCATATTACTATCATTGCCTGATATTAGAATCCATTCTAAGTACTCTTCCTATTTTGCTTCTTTAAGAGCACCTTTCCTTTACTGTATTCTAGGTCCATATGGAAAGGATGAAATGACAAGCTTGTCATTATACCATATGATTTTTCTAAATATGTGTATTTCTTTTTTTTTAAAGAGTTTACAATGCCATATAACAGTAGGCACTATTTTTGTTCCAAACACCAAGACATTTTTTTTCTTTTTTTAGAAAGAAAGAGAATTTTAATATTTATTTTTTAGTTCTCGGCGGACACAACATCTTTGTTTGTATGTGGTGCTGAGGATCGAACCTGGGCCGCACGCATGCCAGGCGAGCGTGCTACCGCTTGAGCCACATCCCCAGCCCTAAAAATGTGTATTTCACATAGCTCTACTAGTTGCAAAAATAAGAACATACGGCACAATTTTAAATTTGAACCTGGAATCCAAATGGCCACTTTATATTTTGCACAGTTATCTCTTACACTATCCTGAGATGACTTTGTAGGTAAATTTCTTTTATTCTTTTTTTAATTTTCCATATAAATGAAATCTTTAAGAAGGTATTTATAAAGTGTGACTTTAGGATTGGTAGGATACACTAGGATCAGTATATTATTACGTTAGACCAGTGGTACATAATTCCAATGAATATAGTTATGAAATTGCCAAGAACATTAATTTGCAAACATTCATTCCTTCTAAATACTGACTGCCTAATATACATATTAGCACTATTCTAAATATTGAGGAAATAATTATAAATAAAATACAGTCTTTATTCTGAAGATGTTCACTGTTTACTTGGAGAGACACACCCCAAAATAATTGATTTACAGTGAAAGTAATTCAAAACAAAGCCAAATGAAGATGTTAAAGTACTGTGAGATCTAAGGAAAGGAACATTTCTCACTAGGGACTTGGGAAAGGTTTCACAGACAAGGTTAGTTTTGAGTCAAACTTTAGTGGATAAATTAATAAGACTTTTATTGGTTGAAGAAAGTTGTAGGATAAAATGGTAGTCAGAGTTTTCTATTTGCTTGTCAAAGTTCTAAGTACTTAGAGTTTAGTTAAATAATAAGGACTTCTTTTGGAATGGTAAAGTGCTACTGTTGTACACAGGGTCTTGAGCACATGCTAGGCAAGCACTATGCCACTGAGCTACATCCCCAGCCCTACTTTCAATTTTCTTGATCTTCATCTTAATGTTATTTCTCCTCTTGTAATAAGGTCTTAGAAGATGCTTTTACTTAAAAGCATTGACTCTTCAGTTGGGCCTGAAGGTGTCTGATGGGTAACTAAAAGGATAAATTGTTAGGAATTACTGCTTTTGTTTTTCTGCCTGCCACCTTTATAATCTTGAACTTTTGGTCATATTCCTACTCAACTCTGTATAGATGTGTTAATCACTTAAGGAGTGTCCATCTGAAAACTGGTAGTACGAGGTCAGTTAGTCCTAAATTTGCCTAAAATCTCTTGGCCCTCTTCAAGACTAAAGACACCAAGGTAATAGTGACTAAGATATTTTTACGATTGTTGGACATTTCAGGAAGATTGTCACACAATGTGACTGCACCCCCTAAGCAGAACCAGTTATCCTGTGACAGCAACTAAGTCTGCCTACAGAATAGAAGCAGTCATTTTTTAATGGAAACCAAATTGCTTCCTCAAGTAATAATGACTCCCCTGGAGTCAGCAGCACTTCACAGAACCTGAGATAATGACAAACCAGATCACAGTTTAACCAAGACTGCTTAACTGTGCATACTTACTCTTTTATACGGTCTACTGTTTAAACCTGAAGCTCATGTTAGTACCCCAGAAGACCTGGCAGAGGATACTTGCTTCTCCTTGTCTTCCCAGTATGGCTGTAATAAATAAAATTTTTTTCCTTATTTATTGCCTTTTCCATTTGACTTTTGGGGCAAGTGACCAGACCTCACATATTGGGACTCCCTGAGATAAGGCCCCTGTGACTTAGGACACCAGCAACATAGTCTTAAATTTTATTAAAATGGAAACTTTCTGGAAATCAGTTTCATCAGCTTTTATTTCCTTTGTCTATCAGAGTAGGTCCCAAAGAGTAAACGTAAAGATCTACCAGAGCATTCCATAGGAAGAAGGATAAAGGAATAGATGGTTGTTTTAAGATTTTCCTTCTGGGGGCTGGGGATGTGGCTCAAGTGGTAGCGCGCTCGCCTGGCATGCGTGCGGCCCAGGTTCGATCCTCAGCACCACATACCAACAAAGATATTGTGTCTGCCAAAAATAAATAAATAAATAAATAAATAGAAAAGATTTTCCTTCTGTAATTCAGAATGACATGATGTGATTTCTTAGAACCTGAAATAAACATCTTTTATAAAAAAGCCATAAAATATTTGGTTAATCAGATTTGTCAGTTCTGTGGCTACATTGACTTTATGCTTTTTTCTTTTTTAAGGGCTGTTTTGTGTTTAAACCAAACTTCAAGAAAAGGAAGATCTCTGTGCCAATAGGTAAGGCGTCTTAACATCAAATCTCTTAGTTTTTCTTCCTCCATGTCTTTTTAAACTTTAAGAACTAAATCTAATTGAATTTAGTAATTCTCTTTTCTAAGCTTGACTGACTTAGCTTATTAATAAAAGGTTATTTTCCTAGGCATTGTCAAAAATATGCACCCTAGTGTTCTAATCTAAAAGGGAATGTAAATATATTTTCACGGGGCAAACTGTGAAATACATTTCTCTTGATGACTTCTCTGCCATTGTTTCTTCATGCACAACTTCAGAAATGAAAATTAGCCAGGCTACCATGCTTATAATCCCAGCTGCTTGCCTGAAATCCCAGCAGTTCAGGAGGCTGAGAGAGAAAGATCACAAGTTCAAAACCAGCCTCAGCAATTTAGTGAGGCCATAAGCAATTTAGCAAGACCCTATCTCAAAAAATAAAAAAGGCTGGGGATGTGGCTTAGTGGTCACGTATCCTTTGGTTAAAATCCCTGGTACCAAAAAAAAAAAAAAAAAAAAAGAAAGAAAAATGAGCATCAGTTTATCCTAGGAAAATATTTTGGACTTTGATTAAATAATTAAATAATCAAATCAATTATAAATGCTGATTAGCAATAGATGTTTAACGATAGTAGAAATAATAGAAAATAAAATGATGTGGAAACCAAACAAAAGAAAAAGTCCAAATTTACATTTATTTTCTAGTGAAAATTATATAGGAATTATTCCTGAATTAAAGTATTTCTGAATTAAATATATGAATTAAATATAATTTAAATATATTTCTGAATTAAATTTGAACATTCTTAAAAATTTGGCATGATTCATTTTATAAATAAACTTGATAAGATGAAAGAAAAGTCACATGTATGGAACACATAGTAAAGGGCTTAATAACTACATGGGTATTAAAAAGAATGATGTATGTTCTAATTCAGGGATAAGGGTTGTGCACACCAATACATGTTGAGGGGGAAAAAAAAAACATGGTCTGGATTTGTTACAATAATTCTGTCAGATTATGGAAGCACAAGGTTTGGAATAACTGGGACTAGAATTAAAGAAACTTGGAGAATGGTCCTGACCCTAACTAGTTGTATGACCTTTTCATGGCTCTTTTGGCTTTCCCCAGGTCTCTTGTCTATAGAATGAAAGACTAGACTGGCTTATTAAGAAGTTTTTCTCTTCGCTTTTCATGCCTGTAAAAAGTGACATGCAGAAGTTTGTGAGACAGTAATATCTGTATTATCAGGAAGCGTCACCAACTCATCCTTATAGTCATATTCTGAGACTCCCAGACCTCAGTAGCCTGAAGGAGGGAAAAAAACTGCAAACATATCTGTTACATATTTTTAGGTGGCCCAGAGTTGCTGCCTCTTATGGTTTTTTTTGTTTGTTTGTTTTTTGTTTTTTACCCTTTCTACCAGTTTGTGCTTTCTATCTCATATGCACAGGGGGACTTGCACTGTTGTTGTTACTCTTTATTCCAACTAGAATTTAATAAATTATTTAGCAGATGGATTTAAATCGCAGATTCACATAATCATATTATTAAAGCAGTAGATTTTAATCACTTAGAAACACATGTGGGTAAAAAGAGAAAAGACATTAAGAAAAAAAAAAAAAACCAGCTGAACACTGTGGCACATGCCTGTAATCCCTGTGGCTCAGGAGGTAGGAGGATCCGTGTTCAGAGGTGGCCTCAGCAACTTAACAAGGCCCTAAGCAACTTAGTGAGACCCTGTCTCTAAATAAAATATGAAAAGGGCTGGTGATATGGCTCAGTGATTAAATGCCCCTGATTTCAATCCCCAGTACCTAAGAAACAAAACCCAGATTTTTCTTAAAAGTCTTGGTGGCTTCATAAGGTAGGAGGAGTTGATTAGAAAAGTATAAAAGGAGAGGCTGGGGCTGTAGCTCATTGGTAGAAGCACTTGCTGCCCAGTGTGAGGCACTAGGTTCGATCCTCAGCACTACATAAAAAAATATTGTGGAGTGCTGGGGGTATAGCTCTGTCAGTAGAGTGCTTGCTTGGTATGCACAAGTCTTTAGGTTCAATCCCCAGCAACAACAACAACAAAGATATTGTGTTCATTTAAAACTAAAAAAAAAAATTTTAAAAAAAAAGGACAAAAGGAAACTATTTGCAGTTATGAAAATGTTCTCTATTTTGAGTTCTATATTTAGGAGTAGTTATATGAGTATATATTGAGCCAGAACTTACCAAGTTGTTAAAATGGGTGTATTTGCAAATTATACCTTAAAAATTATTGAAAAAAGATGCCATCTTCACTTTTTTCATTATTTCTAGCTACCTATTTAATGATCAAGATAATAGGACATCTTCAAATAAAACAGAATGTTAGTGTTAAATACAGAGTGTTCATTGCACTGGTTCTCTTTCGTAGCTGCACTTAGAATTACTTGGGGAGCTTTTTTAAATTTAATTAATTTATAATTAAATTATAAATTCACATGTGATTGTAAGAACTAGTAGTGATAGTTTTCTTGTACCCTTTATCTGTTTGTTGCCAGTGATCATATCTTATATAACTATAGTACATTTTCACAACCAGAAAACTGATATGGATATAATCCACAGTCCTTATTCAGATTTCAATTTGGAAAAAAATTTAAGTTCCAAGTTTTCAATTCTGCAGATATTTCAGTGAAATTGATAATTTTCAATGTCAACTGAAAACTATAACCTAGAGCTTATTATATAATTTTATAAATTAAATTTACTGTAATTAAAAATAATGATATCATTAATATTATCACCAATGATTCACCTATTTTCTCAAAAGAATAGAACTCTAAAAACATAAATATACTGGGGCTGGGGATGTGGCTCAAGCGGTAGCACGCTCGCCTGGCATGCATGCAGCCCGGGTTCGATCCTCAGCACCACATAACTGAAAAATATAAATATTAAAATGCTCTTTCTCTCACTCTCTCTCTTTAAAATAAATAAATAAATAAAAACATAAATATTAATTTTAAAGATACCTACTTAATAAGTTTTTATAACTATCCCATAAATGGTAGGATGGAACCTAATTGGATTAAAAATACCCATGCCAGATCTCAGCCTGGATCAACTGAATTAGAAGGTCTCGAATTGGGGCCCAGGTATTAGAATTTTTCAAAAGTTTCTCAAAAGCATATGGAGTGTTTATATTCATTATTCAGCACTGTGGAAATTAATCCCAGTGGAAAAATGATGATGTAAATGCAAGCATACCCATGTATTTTTTGAATACCATTGTTTAAGGAATTGAACAGCTTGAATGTGTAAAATGGGACTTTACTAAACCATCATGTGATAAAATGTTAATCCTTTAATCTGAGACTAGCTGAAATCTGTACTCAGGAATAAAAATATTGAAATAATGGTCTAATTTGGGGGGTAATGGTAGGTAGAGAATATGACTTATAGTTTCTCGTTAATAGATGAACAAACTGTGATCAAGAGCTTGACACCCTTATAAACGTAATCCCAAAGAAACTATGCTTTCTCAGTTTTTTTCCCTCCTCCTCTGAAAAAATGTAAGGTAATGATGGACTTTCTAAGGCTATCTTGTTATGCTGTTTTGTCTCCTAATAGTATTGGTTATTTTGTTTGTTTGTTTGCATTTCAGTACTATAACTGTCATTTTATCAGGTGATGACTTGAATGTTTTCTAAGATGTTTGATAAAATCACAACTCAATATTTGTTAAGAACTGAATCTGCTACAATTAGAAGGAAAGTTCCTTAATATGAAAGGAACTTTCAATCCACTATCAATTAACTTTGGAACTTGATGTTAGAATATGAGTGATAGGAATTTATTTATTTAGTTAATATTTATTTTTTAGTTCTGATTGGACAAAATACCTTTGTTTTATTTATTTATTTTATTTGGTGCTGAGGATCAAACCCAGGGCCTCGAATGAGCTAGGCAAGTCCTCTATCGCTGAGCCACACCCCAGCCCAAGTGGTAGAAATTTAATACCATTAAAACTTTCACTTTTGTGATAAAATATCTACCCTTAAGCAACAAGAAATATGAAGGAATATAGAAAACTATAAAGATTGTAAAATATTTGAATAAGGAAGAGATATATGATGCTTTTGGGTGTGAATTTTTAAAAACATCTTAAACATGTTATTTCTCAAATCAGTCTATAAATTTGATATTATTTAGTCAAAATTTCAGTGTAATTGTTTTTAAGAAGTGGTAAAATTGCTATAAATTAATTTGATGGGACAGCCTAAGCTTTTAAATTTTTTTGAAGAATAACATTGTTTGGTGGCAATGTGAGAAAGACGTAGATGTAGTCAGTACTAAAATGTCCTAACATACAAAAAGTGGCAGTAATTTAAACAGTTCAGAATTGGTATAGAAATAGAATTGCATTCAGTAGAACCAAAGATGAAGTTCAAAAGTAGTTTAAAGTATATAGAAATATTTAGACTAAAAGGGTATCTCACATTAGTGAGAGAAAGGATGATTCATGGAATGAATAAATCTGGTTTTTTTCAAACTGGTCATAATGCACAGGTTAGTTATGAAATTGATTTAGTGGGCCTGAAACAGAAAAGAAAATGTTTGCTATTACATAAGAATAAAATTGTTCTGTGGAACTTTTCTTTTGTTTCTATTATGCATATGTGTATCAGATTATAATATAAAATGTATTCCTTAATGTGGATAGTGGTTTTAGAGAGTTTGAAAGCCATTGCAATAAAAGGTATTTTGACATTGGAGGAAAGTATATAAAATAATACAGAAAGACTAAAAGAAAGGCTGGACTAAACTGTCAATAGAATAAAAAAATAAGAATATTAATAGGAAGAGTCATTTAATAGATATTTCAAAGCAAACATGTGAAAGTAAAATATATGAGATTGTAGGATAAAAACAAAAATTAATATTAATTGTATATACCTCAGGCCAAAAAACATTAAATAAAACTGTTAGAAATTCAAAAGTAATGGAGAAATACAATTTAAAAATTAAAGATATTGTTGCTGGGTGTCATGGCATATGCCTGTAATCCCAATGGCTCTGGAGGCTGAGTCGGGAGGACTAGTTCAAAGCTATCCTCAGCAAAAGTGAGGCACTAAGCAATTCAGTGAGACCCTGTCTAAACAAAATGCAGAATAGGACTGGGGATGTGGCTCAGTATTTGAGTGCCCCTGAGTTCAATCCCAGGTATAAACCCCTTTCCCCAAAAATAAAGATATTGTTAATCTTAAAGATATATCAACACAAAAATAAGATATATAAACAAAATTAAATACAATGAATAGGGAATATTTCTTATTTCAAATATATGTATCTATATATAGATATACAGATATATATCTCCAAATAGATATAGATTTACACTGGTGCATAAAGCAAAAAAATTCCACCTCAGTCACTTACTGTGGCTTTGCACACAGTTTCTAACTTTACTGTATTAGAAAAGAAACCAACTTACTTCTTTCTGTGTTTTTAGAGGACTATTTTAATAAAGGCAAAAATGAGTCTGAGGACAGCAAGCTTCGATTCGAAACTTATCACTTGATGTGGGAACAGATGAAATGTGAAACTGAGGTGAATGCTTTTTTGTTAACATTTCTCTTAGTACTGTAAACCCCATGTTTGTTGATTCCCATCCTTCCACCAATTTATGAGTATTAATGAAATATAGGAAATATTGGTCAATAATCTTCATAAACTAGGGAAAAAAACTCCTCATGTTCCAAATATCACGCATAGCTTTAGGTATTGGAGCACGATAGCTGGTAAGGCAAGGAGCTTTCAGGTGGTGGCACTCTTATCCATTCATTTAGCAAGTTACACAGGTGTTAAATTAAGCTATTTCTAAACTCCATCACTCCTTTATTTTTATATCATTACCAAGCTCTTTATATTACAGCTCCGAACAAAGCATTTCTCCAGTGTAGCAAGTTGGTAGCTCTAGGGCCAATATCTTAAGCTAATGTCTTGTTCTGTTTGACCAACATGTTGTTACACAAACAGTTGAATGCTTTGGAGAGAGCTATGAACTTTCATCTTGTTACTGCTTTCTACCAATTTTTATTGCTTTTCACCTAGTAGCCTTGCTTGTTTGTATGTTCCATGTAATCCTTAAAGATATTTGACTTTGTGGTTTACAGTTTAAGCCTTTTTCCTTTTTAAACTGGATTGTCAAAATTTCCCCCATTGGTGTCCCTAACTGATGTCAAATCTTTCAGATCTGTTGTAAGTTCTTTTGGCCCTCAAACAATCCTATGCCAGTCTATTGGAGTTTTTTATATAGCACCTTTGCCAGTACAGCCTCCCCGATTCTTTTTTTTTTTTTTCCTTTTTAATTAATGCATGACAGTAGTCTACTTTGAAGTATTTATTATACAAACATTGAATATATCTTATTCTAATTAGTATTCCAGTCTTATGGATGTACATGATGTTGAGATTCACTGTGGTATATTCATTTGTGTACATAGAAAAGTTACATCAGATTCATTCCATTGTCTTTCCTATTCCAATCCCCTTCCCTGATTCTTCATCTGGCATTCACAGTGCTACCAGATTAACCCTCTGAGCATTCCTTCAGTAGCATACAGGATAAAATTAAAATCTTTTTTTAATATTTATTTTTTAGTTATAGGTAGGCACAATATTTTGTTTTTATTTGGTGCTGAGGATTGAACCCAGTGCCTCCTGCATGCTAGGCAAGCACTCTACCTCTGAGCCACAACTCAGCCCATAAAATCCAAATCTTTAAACATCATATATGTTTGTTATTGGTCTAGACTCTTACATTTTGTCCATTTTCCTTTTTTTAGCACTTCTTATGTTTTTTATGCTTAGCTATATCTGTGGTTCTCCAGATGTTGAGTGCTTTTCTTCCTTCCTTGCATCCCTAAGTCCTCATTCCTTCTAACTTTCCTTTGTCTCCTGTCTCTCCTCTATCATCTGCTAATGGCTTAATTCAAATTTATTACCTTCTCAGCTTACATTAGATGCTTCTGCTCTTATCAATTGTTGTGTGTTTTAGTTGCAAGTTTTCTTGTCTAATTTCTTCTTTTTTTTTTTTTAGGATAAAGAATGCTTTCATTCATAAGGTGATAAATAAATATTAAATGAATAAATTAGAGGAATTTTAAAATGGGGGAATTCAAAGCACTAATCACTAGCGATTTAACTTTTATTTTATCTATATTTCAATCATTTTGGTCATTTTTTATGTAATATTTGAATTGAATCATTGATAATTTTCCTTCTAAAATCAGTGAGGAAGATCAAAATAGGGCACCCCAAAATATTCTTCTTTATCATATTTTCTAATGGTTATTCCAAGAGGTTCAGACATGGGAATGGCTCAGAAAATCTGCTTTGTAAAAATAAATTTATATCTGTCTACATTAGTGAAGTAAACTATGAATTCAGGCAGATGCTTTTCTCTCTGACACCTCCCATCTCCCTAGGAAAGATCTTTCCTCTGGAAGGAGAGATTTGGAATCTGACACCTAGCCCTGCCAGAAATTACCACAGGTGGCCTTCTAATGACTATTATCTGTGTAATGATAAAATAAGGTTACCTATATAATCTTTCTTTGGTGCATTTTCTTCCCACTTTTTATAACATGTTGCCACTGCCCCCATACTCATATATCCTCATCAGGCCCAAGCCCCTATTTCTTTCTGTATCTCAAAATGAAATTTAAGCTTCAACCATCTTGCCTTTAGTCACATACTTTGTGTGACTCATGCTATGTTAATACCTTTATATGCTTTATTCTTCCTCTTAATCTATTTGTTAGTTTATTTCATAGACTAAAATTTTTGAACATTTCAAAGGGAAAAGAAAATTAGAATATCCCAACACCAGGAAAGACACCAGATTACTACTCAGAATAATGATTCATAAAATTTCTTTATTTTCTTTGTAGCGACTACAGGAAGAATTAAATAAAAATCTGTTTGACAGTCTAATTGAATTTCTGCAAAAATCTCATACTGGATTTAAGAAGAATTCAAGAGACTGGGGACATCAAATAAAACATAGAGAAATTCCAGTTGCTGCTCTTGTTCTTGGTATGTATGTTCCTCTGTTTGTTCATACATGTATGTATTTTTTTAATTGGTTGTATTGTTGAGAATAATGGGGACTAACTTGTTCTAATAAAGACCTTTTATGTCTTTTCTTTATAAAATTAAACATACTATAGTTTGCATACTTTTAAAACCAATAAAACTTCATAATACTGATCATAGCACTGAAAATTAAAAGAAATTGATTCAGCTAGTGCTCTTTTCAACTTTTTGTCACAAGGAAAACTATTTGTTTTATTCTTTTTTTCTTATACATGTTATGGGAGCATATGAGATTTGGATTTGGTAATAAACGACCAGTGTGTTAGTAGATAAGATTATTGTACCTTTTTTAAAAACCATATCTGGAGTGAGATTATAACATTCCATGTTCTTAGTTTTTCAATGTCAGATTGTTTAATTATTTTTATATTAATTGCCTAGGAAGAGATTTGGATGGCTTGTGTATAAACTGCTTACAAATTGCCTGCTGTAAATTTCTTAAATATTTATCACTATATCTCATCTCTGTTAAACATCTTTTTGAACATTTCCCCTTTTTTTTTGATGCTGGAGGTTGAACCTGGGACCTCATGTATGCTGAGTGCATGTTTTACCACTGATCTACACCCATATCCCTGCAAATTTCTCTCTCCTTTTGAAAATAAAGTAGAATTTATTTGGGTTTTAAATATGCTTTTCATTTCACTTCCAGTTTGTTTATTTAAGGTTTGTTATACTAATAGGCTTTAATAAAAGAAGTTAATTCTCTTGTTTAATACTTCTTCTAACACTCTTCATTACTCAAATCTTATTCCTGATATTGAGGACAGTATTTCTTACATGGTGATGTCATTGTAACCATAAGAGGATCCAGATTTTTGTTCTTTTAGATCTGGGATGAGGCCTGAAATCCTGCATTTCTAACAGGTTTCCAGATGATGCCATACTGCTGATCTCAAGACCACCCTGAGTAATAAGGCTTAATGGAGTGATTTTTATAATGCTGTGGACCAGCATTCCAGAACAGCCTGTTGTCTAATTAAACACCTTTCATTTATGGATGAGAAACTTTGACCTAGTGATGACTACTTGTTCTATTAGATGCTTTGTTTTTCTACTGCCAGGTTACAGCAATTAGAGATGTTACAACAATTAGAGATGGAGAAAGGAGGCACAGCCAAGAGGGATAGCCTGAAAGCTTGCTCTGAGAGATTTAAAGCCCTGCCAAAAAAGAGAAAAGCTAATGGAAATTGTATTTTTCAAAATCATGGTTTGAGGAGAACATTTTTCCAGTTAAAGACATTGTTAATTATGCTATTTGCAATAGACAGGTTCATTGTTTTAAGAAACACAATGTTATATAGAGCTCATAAAGTTAGTTAATGAAAGACAGGATGAGCCAGTGTTTAACTGAACTCCCAAATATGTCCAGACATGCAGTATTACAATCAAAGACTATGATGAATGCTAGAAACAGTATGATACCATAAAATAATTCTGCACTCAAAGAGTGCTTAGGTACAGTTGCACATACTCTGTTTTCAAAAAGGTACATATAGCGATTTAAAAAAAATAGTCTGGAAAAAAATTCAAAAAAGTTAAAAAATAATATTCTTATGTTTTGACTTTTGGCAGGGGTAGTGCTTATTGCTGGCATGAATGATTCTGAAATTTTTCTTTCTAAGCAGTGGAAGTACTACCACAGTTCAAAAATGTGTGCTGCTGATGTCTGCCCAAGTAGAAGGGACTTTCTAGAAATCAGATTGTTAGGCAAGATGTCAATTAATAGAATTATTCCCAAAGTGGTAGGGAAATTTCCACCCAATTCTTACTATGCACTAAAATTAACTAGCAGGAATGAGAACAGAGAGTTTGGTAAATGTCAAAATCATATAGTTTTAATTTATTTTTAGGCTCTACCCCCAAGAATTAGCTTAGTACAGACTTTTTCTATGTATCTAGTACTATGATTGCTAATAGAATTATAGTTAGATTCTCCTTAGGTGTTAAATCAGGGACATAATAAGGCTGGATTCCGTAGCCCCTTGTGTTTGATTAAAGAGATCTTTATGAATTTGACTTAAGTAATGAAATTATTCCTAAGATATTTTCAAAGGTTGACTACATATCTGTAGTAATTTTTTAAAAGAGGAATTGTGATAAATATTTTTTGAACAAAAAACAACTGTTACAAAGCTGTGTAGCTTCCTAATACTGTGACACTATTGAGATAATTTATAAGGAAGAAAAGTTTATTTTGGCTTGTGGTTTCAGAGGTTTCAGTCTGTGGTCACTTGGCTTGTTGCTGGGCTCATGCTGAGGCAGTACATTTTGATGGGGAGCACGTAGTGGCACAAAGCTAACTTCATGTTGGCTTGAAGCAGAGAGAAATGGGGCCAGGGTCCCAACCTTCCTTTCAAGGGTATCACCCCAGTGATCTAACATCCTTCCATTAGACCCCCACCTTCTAAAGGTGCCATGACCTCTCAGTAATTGCCACAGCTAGAGACTAAGCTTTTAACACAGAGATGAGCCTTTGGAGGACTTTCAGGATCTGTAAAGCTTCATTGTGATATGAACATTTAGGTAATCTATTAATGGCTATTTCTTCATTTATGTGGTATATTTTCTTGGTTCCTATTATGAATCCTGTTTTTAAAATGTTTCACTTAGCAGTTTGTTGATGCAAGAAATAACTTTTGTTATAAAAGCATTACTAAAAAATAAATATTAAAAAAAATTCTCTCAAAAAAAGCATTACTAAAAATGATGGTATAATATTGATGTATTACTCCACAGGTGTGAATGTTACAGATCATGATTTAATATTCAGAAGCTTAACAGAGGCCCTCCAGAATAATGTCACACCATATGTAGTCTCATTGCAAGCTAAAGATTGTCCAGGTAAAATGTAAATGCCATGATACCTTGGTGAAGTGTTAACAGAATTCTTCTGTTCTTCTCTTTCTCTTTCTGGCTTTCTTAATCCATTTTTATTTGTGGAAAGAGCATAGTCAGGCTGAGTTTTAGTGGCTCTCAAAGTAATCTTGACTAATGCAGTATTCTTGCCAAATTTGCTTCCTTTTTTCTGGCTCTATTCCTGCCATATCAGCTTCACTGCCAATGCATTTTGCAAGATGTGTTCCTTAACCCAGTGAAAGTTTTAATAAATGGAAAGGTTTGAAACAGGAAACTAGAAGTTAGAAAATGGGAAGCTCTTAGACCAATAGAGAGTAGATTCCATAAGCTCATATTTACAGTCATAAATTATTTTATTTTCCACACTTTAAAAGGCCAACATTAGTTTAAAAAAAAAAAAGTTTATTGGCAGAGCCATCAAACCATAAAGGATATGTACACTAATACAGTAAATACTGTTTGGATTTGGATTGATACAATACTTTTGTGTGTGTATTACTTTCATAATCATAAAGTGATTAGAATTAAGTAAAAGCCCTAAAAACATCTTTTAAAATTATTATAAAGGAAGATTTGTAATGAGTAGGATAATTCATGTAAATAATACTTTTGATCTATTTTTAGAGACTTTGAAATCCTTTTTTTGTCCATTGTATACTATTTCTAAAATAATTTGTAGTTTCCATGTTTACTCATTTTACTTAGGTAACATTTTTATCATAGATGATTCATATAAACTTTGGTATGCTCTTAGTATGAACTAATGAAATTTAAGTATTAGTGCTAAAGAGCATTAATAGTTAATATGTTAGATGTTATCTGTATTGATGCTAAGTATAGAAAAATGCATTCTACTGAAATAATAAGTGGAAGAAGAAGTCTCAAGGGCTTTCATTTTAAAAGGAAATAAGCTTTCTTTTTGTGTTTTACAGATATGAAACATTTTTTGCAAAAGTTGATCTCACAATTGATGGACTGCTGTGTAGATGCAAAACCCAAAGAGAAGGAAAGTATTCAGGTCACCCAGAAAATGACACATTGTTCAATGGATTCACTTTCTAGCTGGTATATGACTGTCACACAGGTAACATACACCAATGATTCTCTTCCACAGTGTTGACACATGATTGATGGAGCCTGGAATTATATTAAACATACAATTTTTTTGTTCTAATAAACAGCACAAGGTGCCAATTTAGTAGAAGCTTTTTATTTTTCCTAAGGCTACTAGAATTTAATTAAAAGTGTTCTTTTATTAATATGTAGCCTAATTCTTGATAAGTGGTTAAGTTTTTACAAGGACCTTGTATTTGTGGAAAAATATATTCTAGTGGCAAAAAGATAGCATCAGGAGTTGATTCTTTGTATCTCTAACAGTGGCTGTAACTTTAATATATTATTACCTCTTAAGATCCTTGTATTTACTTCTGTGCAGTAGAACCATGCTGCCAGTTGCCACTGTCAACGTGATCCTATAAGGAATGATCATATATTATTTTTCTAAGAATGTAATTTGTTCCATGCTCAGAGGTCTTAACAATATAGGTGATTCCTTGGCAACTGTGCTATAAAACCACAGCCTTAATTTCTAATGCTTTGTACCAGATATGGACAAAAAAGTATTGTGGTGACATTTTCTAGTCAACATTTTTACAGAAATCATTATAAGCTTCATTTTAACTTATATAGGGACTAGTTCTAATGCTTACTATATAATACCTTAATTGTATTAATTGGTTATACAATTAATTGGTTCCTCAATTTTGGATTTTTGATTAATCAAATATAATTTATGTCTGATATACTCAAAAGATTGGGATTGAACCAGATATTTAGGATCCTTTTCAAGCTTGACATTTCATAGTAACAGAGTAGCAAATAGTGCTTTTCATTATGCTTTTTAATTAAAAGACACTAATTCTTACCTTAAGCAAAGCAAAATATAACTATACCCACAAAAAAGCCAATTTTGTAGAAAATTTTCTCTTCCCATGATTTTTCTGTCATTTTCCCAGCAGCAAATATAAATATCTATAACTCATATGAAATGTTTCTATTTCATATGAGTTATAGATATTTCATATGAGTTATAGATCTTACCAAGCCTTTTTCTTCTTGGTTATTATTCCCATGTCAGACAAAGATTCTGCTAGTAACTATTGAAAGGAATTGCTATTTACCTATGGAGCAGGGGGTGGGGAACACTGTCTGTGAAATATGAAGAGAGATTTATCAACATGTGACATTATAGCATTGTTTGGGTGGTAAGGCTTACTTTTAATTACTTCTTTCCATAATGCCTTGAAAGAAGACAGACCCAAAAATATCAGGCAAAAAGAGGACAACTTCTAGCAAGTGGCAGTCTCCTCCTGTTGTGCTTATCTTAAAGGACATGGAAAGCTTCACAACAAAAATACTCCAAGACTTCATAATTATCAGCAGGTAGATGGTATATCACTTAGCTTTGGGGTAAAATTCTCTTTAAGAAAGCAATACTTTTAACATAATCTCCATTTAAAAAGACCAATTTAATGAAATTCATAGTGATTTCAAGTTTGTATAATTGAATGTTCAAAGACCTCATACCAGATTTGTCATTTGCTTTTTGACCCCAGTGAGAATCAAAGACAAATTTAGTCTGTTATTAATTATCATGGTAAGGTAGTTTAAAGTGTAGTTTGTCTTATCAAGGTTGTCTGTCTCTTATTTGTCCATTAAATGGATAAACTATTGCAGACTGATATTTTATTGGGCTTTATTTTCTGTTACCTATCTTTAGAGGCTCTGAGTTACATATAGCTTTACTGACCAAGACTTGTTTTCTAAGTCATCTTATATTTATGTAATATTTCTAGTAAGAAACCACTTTTGAATTGGATTAATCAGGTTTTCATCACTGTGACCAAAATACCTGTCATGAACAACTTAGAGAAGGAAGTTTATTTTGGGCTCATGGTTTAAGAGGTTCATATGTTCAGTCCATGATTGGCTGACTCCATTCCTCTGGGTCCAATGTAAGGCAGAACAGAATGGGAAAGGGCATGGTGGAAGAAAGCTGCCAGGAAATACAGAGAAAGAGAGAGAGGCTAGGAACAAGATTTAGTTCAAAGCCATGCCCCTATTGATCCACCTGATTTGGCACCCCACCCCTGCCTACTTTTACCAAACCCAGTAGTTAATTTTAAGTTAGTCATCAGTCAGATGGATTAATCCACTAATGAGGTTACAGCTCTCATAATCTAATCATTTCACCTCTGAACATTATTTTGTTGCTTAACTAATGAGGTTTTTAGGGGAATTAAATATCCAAACTATAAAAGTAGTGTCATTGAATCTTCAAGGTAATCCTGTGAGACCAAGAATTAAGGTAACTAATATAACTTAAAACCATATGACACGTATTTATCATAGTATCCTTTTTAGGATACAATTACTTTGGTATTTTCTACATGTCAACTTGCCTTCATAGTTATACCTATAATTGTCTAAAGCTATATTGAATTATAATTTATTAACATATTAAGGATTCTTATTTTGTTAATATATTCTTCCCCCATTGATCCTAAGAGTTTACAGTCCACAACTTTTCTTTAGTGCATTTTATTTTTTTTTGCATTGCTGGGGTTTGAACTCAAGGCCTCATGCATGCTAGGTAAGTGTTCTATCACTGAGCTGCATGCATTCTTTGGCCCTTGACCTAGGACTTTTCTTAATGCTAACACTGTGTTTACCATGCTGGGCAAGTACACAGTACAGCATAGTGACCAAAAAAAAAAAATACTAGTTTTTATAGCTTACACCTGGATCCACATTAGCCATCAAAAATAAAGAAAATTTATGATAATAAGAGTTGAGGTACTTTACTCCTATGAAAATAGAACTGCATGCATCTAGAATACTACAAAGCAGGACTAGCAGGAAGAGTGGGCAGAATCATCAGCCACGATACACAGGGCTTTGACTTGTAGTAGCCCTCAAAAATAGTGCCTTTTTACTCTGGAGAAGTCATTTGTGTTCATTCCAGTAACACTAAGAATATATTATATTTGGTTTGCTTGAGAATTTAAGAATGAGAGGAAGGAATGGAACATTTTTTAGTAATTTCCATTAAAAAGTGTGTAAGAAACATCTTTTAACTATTAGCTATAATGGCTGAGTAACTGTCTTTTTTTAAGTGTCGAAATATAGAATAAGCTACCTGGAAATTACTGAGCTTCATGTGAGTGAACTCTGAAAACAGGCTGTGTGGCCAACAGTGAGAAAGACTGTAGGTGAAGCTGAAACTTCACGTGAAAAGATAAATTGAATAGTCCCTAGTACATTTTCAATTAATTTACATTTTATAACCTTAGTGGGAAGTACTTGATCTTTCCAAATCTTGGTGACTTTATTTATAAAATGAAAGCATTCATTAATAGATTGATTCAGAGTTATACTGTCTAGAAAAGAACCTTTTGTATTACTTTTAACAAGAGAATGAATGACATAGAAAATTTTAATATTTAGAATGATACTCATTAGCAATGTCTTTAAAGTAGGCATTAAAATAAAGCTAGTCTTATCTTGCAATGTGTTAAATATATTTGCTAAAGAAATTTCATTTTTATATTTTGAAAATTAGTCAACATCTGCATGAATTTCCACTAATACTCATTTTTGGAATCGCCACATCTCCTATTATCATCCACCGATTGCTTCCTCATGCAGTATCATCTCTATTATGTATAGAACTATTCCAGTCTTTGCCTTGCAAAGAGCACCTGACGACAGTACTTGATAAGGTAAAAAGAAAAAGTTTTACCAGTGACATAGGGTAAAAGGAAAACCTCAGGAATAATTGTGTATGTAAATGATAAATCTCTAAATCTCTTTATATACTTTATACAGCATATATCTTTATGTATTTTAATATTTTATTTAATGATTTTATAATTTTATACTGATATTTGAATAGAATTGCCTGTTCAGATAAAATACAAGCTTTATGAAATGTGATCATATCTATCTGTGCATTTATATCTCTTACCTATTATTACTCTGGAAAATTATAGGCTTTTAAAAATAAATTTTTACAGAATGTGTAGACTTCCTAGTAACAATACCAGTATGTTTTGATTTTACCTTTTTAAAAAATGATTTGAAGTGGTTAGTGGACTCTTTTCTGATTGTCATGTTACTCTTGAGAATAGATAAATGCTAGAACTTTCTCAGGCATTAATTTCTAGTATGACTTTTTGTTGTTGTTGTTGTTCTAAGGATTGAGTCCAGAGGCAGTCAACCACTGAGCCATATCCCCAGCCTATTTTTTTTTAATATTTATTTTTTAGTTTTTCGATGGATACAACATCTTTTGTTTGTATGTGGTGCTGAGGATCGAACCCGGGCCACACGCTTGTCACACGAGCGCGCTACCGCTTGAGCCACATCCCCAGCGCCCCCAGCCTATTTTTGTATTTTATTTAGAGATAGGTTCTCACTGAGTTGCTTAGCGCCTCACCAAGTTGCTGAGGCTGGCTTTGAACTCCCAATCCTCCTGCCTCAGCCTCCTGCGCTGCTGGGATTACAGGCTTGCACCACAGAAATATGATTCTTTAGTGTTGACCTTCCACAGATTTTTTTTTCTAGACTCCTTTAAAATTTGTTTTATGATGCTTGTGACCACCAATCCACTTATTTACTAATTACTTCTATACATTTTTTCATAAAAGTGATGTCCATCTGATTTATTGACACTTCTGGGGAAAATTTTCCAGGTGAAATATTTAATACAGCTTGGCTGTAGCTAAATTCAGTTGGTCTTCTACAACTGAGTTTTTGTTTAAGAAAAATTTTTTTTTAAGAAAGGAAGGAAAGAAAGAAAAGAAAATTAACCACTTAATACAAATTCAGGTTTCCATATCTTTAAAATAAAAATGTATTAATTTTGTTTCTTATTCAATAGTACCTAATCTGTTACTCTTCATTAATTTGAATCAGGGATAAAAAAGAAATCTTATCTGGTAACAAGAATTGCCAAAACCTGCAACTTCTTCAGTGGTTTCTGGTGTGAGAAAAAGAATTATGTAGATAATAGGCAGTATTTCTAAAAATTAGGAATTAGATGGAGAATGGTGGATATCTTTGGATGTGAGGACATAGTATAAATTGCTTCCTTTCGTCGTTGTTACTGTTGTATAAATTAAAATTTTGATTGATATTCAACCTGAAAAAACTAGCTATTGTTTTCATATTTACTGTGTCATTGTCTTATTATTTACATTTTATGTTTTAAGAGTAAAGACTAATAAGGACTCTTCCATGCCCTTTATCTCTTTCAGCTACTTCTTACAGCTCAGTTTCCCTTTAAAATAAGTGAAAAAGTGTTACAGATTCTAACAAACATCTTTTTGTATCATGATTTCTCAATTCAGAACTTTGTAAAAGGACTTCAGGTAAGACAGTAAATGAGTTAGTAACTCACAATCTGTTTTTTAATAAGTGGAATGTTATTTCAGACTGACTTTATTTAGTGTGGTAAGGCTAAATAAATGTCAAAATCTAGAATACATAAATTTAAGTTATTTTATTCTAGGTTCTACCATTCCTTTGTCACCTTGAAATAAAATGTAGAGGATACATTAGTTAGGATATCAGTAATGCAAAAAAACACTCCTCATTCTAGTTATTCTTAAACATTTAGTGGGTAGAGAGGAAAGGACTTTTTTTTAGAACTTGCTGAATGTTCTCAAAGCTTATAGATTTTCTGCCCAAGAAATGCCATATGGAAGGGATCAACTAACTTTTGTAATAGGCCAGAGAGTAAACATTTTCAGCTTTGCATATCTCATATGGTCACTGCTGCTGCTGCTGCTGCATATTTGTAGTTCCTATGCTATTCAAACATAGATTGTACACTATAGTTTGATATCCTTTGCACATATAGTTATGTGTTTATGTGTGTATTCTTGTATACTGTGAATGCATTTTCTTTTGGTTTTCATGAATTACTAGAAGTTAATTTTTTAATGTAACATCATATTTACTCAACATAAAAAAGACCCTATTCTCCAGTTTTTTAAAAGTTAATATTATTTCCTGATTTTGGCAAATAACTAAATTATCTTAGCAAATGTGATCATGGTCAAGTTTATTAAGACATAGATGTTGGTAACCTTCAGTGCAAAAGTGCCATATGATAATACTCATCTTTGTATAGTGCTTTGAAGATCATAAATTATTTCTCTTATGTGTTCCTGCATTACATGAAATATTATGGTGGTTTCTTATGGTTAATACATGTTCTTTTTTTCAACATTGACTATTTAAAGATTATTTTAAATCAAGAAATCATTATTACCTTAGCAATATATGAAATTAAATGATATTGATATAATAACTCCTAAATTTCTTCTATATTTCATTTCATTCATTTACTCATAAATATATATCAAGAGCCTTTGGTAAGCTAAGCACCGTGCTGATCCCTAGATAAACAGAAGAAAAAGCAGTCTCTGCCTTCAAATTGTACATTTTCTAAAGTGAGGGAGGAGTAAAGCCACAATTATAGTTTTTTGTAGAAAATATTATGAAAGAAACCTGCCTTGGGGTTCCATAGGAGAATAAAAGTTCTTGGTAGGAGCTGGCCAGGTCAAAATTGGAAGACTATGTCATGCAAAGGCAACAGGAGAGGAAGCTGTTATATTAGAAAGCTATTGCAGAAATCTGACAAAATATGACAATCTACACTAATGTGATGACAATGGAACTAGAGAGAAAGAAATATGGGAGGATGAGAGAATCAGTAGAATCTTGTCACTAAGCTGATGGTAGGATGTGTAAGAGGAACAAGGTGACACACAGGCTGTAGCTTGGCAGGTGGATTGGAGGTTGGTACCATTAGTTGTACATGTCAATCCAGGGTGAATAGTAGGTTTGTTGTGAGAAAAGGCTGGGGTTTTTCTGTTTGTTTTGTTTTATTATTATTTTTTTAATATTTATTTTTTAGTTTTTGGTGGACACAACATCTTTATTTGTATGTGGTGCTGAGGATGGAACCCGGGTCGCACGCATGCCAGGCAAGCGCCCTACCACTTGAGCCACATCCCCAGCCCCTGTTTGTTTTGTTTTATTGCATGTGATTAATTTAGGAGTATGTTGGATATAAAGATTTGGTGCTTGGGAGAAAGATTAGGAGTAAGAATTGGTATTTAGTACTTAACATTAAAAAGTGATGGTTAGGGTCATGTGTTGGTACTCGGTGTGAGAAAAGAGTAAGTGTAGAACCCTAAGGCAAGCTGACATGTAAGAGCAACAGAAAAGGAGACTAAAAACAAGGAAAGACAATACAAAGTAGAGTACCAGTGAAGTCAAAAGAAAAAAAAGTTTCAGAAAATATAAACTGGAGTCTTAAATACCTTTAGAAAGTGCATACAGAAAAGGATTTTAACCAGGTTACTTAATCTCTGGGTCTCTGTTTTCTCACCTGTAAATAAGGCAGTCAGATGCTTTTATAGGTTCCTGATGATTTCCTAAGCACTTCCTTTGTATCAAACACTTAATAATGAAGATTATCTTCAGTTTTGTACATGAAGCAATTGAGGTTTAGGTTAAGCAGCTTCACCAAAGTCCAGTAGGTAATAAATGGCAGTGTTTAGGTTTCAGAGTATTTGTCCATTTCCTAATCAGTGGAAAATATTTGTAAGTCCTGTGAGTAGGTGCAATAGAGCGTGTAATCATTCTGTATGTGTTTAAGCTCTCTCCCCATTGGGCTGATATATTAACTACCTTGGTAATTGAACAGGTATTGAAAATACTCTTGGACAAAACAGTTAAGTGATATTTGGGGTCTTTTCCTATTTATAGCTGTATTATGATATATGTGCTGTCCTCCCATTCTTCTTCCCAAGCATGTTTCTTATCTTGTTTGGTTTTTATTTTTCAAATGTTTAAAAAGTAGTGTTAACATTGAAACAAACACTGTCACATTAGTATAATTGGAAAAGATAAATTAGTAAAAAAGATGATTAAATTAATATGTTAAAAAATAATTTATCACTTGGCATGAACAGTTACTTTCTGTTTTGAACTTGTTTCTATGTTAGGCGTGGCTATTTCTTCCTTGACTCTCATGGCTCAGAAATTCATCAGTTTACCTAAAAAGGATCAGGTCCAAGATTGCTGATCCATACCAACCAAGTACTTTAAAAACAGACATGAGTATATCAATATGTATATCAATATGTAAATCAATGGAAGTGTAACTGATGTGATTCTGCAAGCTGTATACGGGGTAAAATGGGAGTTCATAACCCACTTGAATCAAAATGTGAAATATGATATATCAAGAACTATGTAATGTTTTGAACAACCAACAATAAAAAAAAATAAAATAAAATATGAACCTTGTACTGGCAAAAAAAAAAAAAGATTGATATATAACTAAACTAACATGTTAATTTGTTGTGGGGAATACTATTTTTTCCAGTAATCAGAAAGATTTACTCTTGAGGAACCCCCCCCCCCAAAAAAAATATTCTCTCCACTATTTAAGGAACTGTATTCCTAGTAATAAGATTATCTGGAAAAATAATTCTTGTCCTGAGAAAATTATTTAGAATCAGAGTAATGAATATTTGGGTAGTTTTTTAAATTTGTCTTGCAAGAAATGTTAGAATTTGGAAAATTATTCTTCCTTCTGGGGAAACCACAACATTCTATTAGAATACTTATATCTAACAGACATTGTGCTGTATTTTTCTTCATGGAATAAAACTGAATTTTCAGAGATAAATTTTCATTATTCTTTTTTATCAGTAGGTACAGTTTTACCATGTGACATTTTTATTTATTTTAACAGACCAGATTTTATACTAATTTTAGCTTGGTATCATAATTCTTATGAGTATTGAGGCATCTGTTAGATCAAGGTCACACCCCAGTCCCATCCATATTACATTTATAGTCATTGTGAATTGTTTCTGCAGATAGCTAATTATCCATTTATATTAGTTTTTTTTTATTTTATATTTCTGAGATTATTATTTTCTGATCTTGTCCACAAAATTGGAGCCTTAAAAATAATAGAAGTATATAGTCATTTATGTGCTGTTTATAGTGTTGTGTTGTTATTAAGAATATTAGTGCCATAAATACTTTTTTAAAGGAAACTTAAAATTGAGCAGATATAGGGCAAAAGATGTACTGCCAAAATATAATAAGTATATTTAATCTTAACATTTCTTTCAGCTTTCTCTACTAGAGCATTTTTATTCCCAGCCCCTAAGTGTTCTGTGCTGCAGTCTTCCAGAAGCCAAGAGAAGAATAAATTTTTTATCAGCTCATCAATGTGAAAACATCCGTCGTCTTCCATCATTCAGAAGGTAAAAAGAGAAGTACATGTTTAGCACATCTTATATTAGATTTTGGAAAAAAAAAGGGAAAACTTGGATACAGTTGTTTTTGAAGTAAAGAATGGAAAAATAATCTTTATTTTGTTGAGCACAATTTAAAACCATTTTGTTTTTAGTGATGGGGTTTGTTTGTTAGATTAGAAAATTTAGCATAAATCAAAATTTTTTTCAAAGGAACATAATTTTCAGTTACTTTGTAGAAATAATATTTCTTATTTCTGGGTTATGTGACCTTATGATTAGATTCTTAAATGTAGCTGATACGAGAAGTTTTTATCATTAAATCATCACTATCACCTTAAATTATTTTTGAGAAGAAATGAAACAAATATGGCTACCAATCTAGGTAGCTATTATTTTTTCCAATGTTATTAAAATATGTAAAATGTTCAGTTTTCTCTTTTTGTGTATTGGATGGAAACATTTTTAGGTATGTGGAAAAGCAAGTTTCAGAAAAGCAAGTTGCACTGTTGACCAATGAGAGATTTTTGAAGGTAGGAATGTGAATGTGTTTCAGTTTCATTCTCCTTCATGAAAAAGAATATGCACATAAATATTGATGTTTAATTTTATTAAATATATTTGTATATCCTATGTTTGTATGATGTTCTAAATATTGGTAGTTAGGAATGTGAATATTAAAGATAATGTAAAATCTCAACTCTGAAAGAAGATTTTTCCTATCAAGATAAAATATTAAGAACATTTGATTTCTCTTCTGTTCTATTTTGGAAGCACTTTTAGATCTACTATGTAGAGATACTGTGTGGATTTCTTTTGACATAGCAGTAGGCAATCTCTTTTTAATATTCATTTTTAAAGGCTCTAATAAAAGCATGTAGAAGCCAGATGGCTCAGTCACATACTGCTGAGTGGGTATTGATTTGATTGGAAAGTATATTATATATTGATAATATAGTACCAGGAAAGAGGTAATGATCTTTAAAAGTTATGAGTTAGCCGTCTAAGAGAGGGACTATCAAAAGTAGGAGATTTTTTTTTCATTCTTGAATAAATAATACTTGGACATGATATGTGATTCAGAAGGCGAAGGAATAGGGAGAAGCCTTTTACCACATCTGCTAACTACCCATTTCCCTTCACTAGATATGTCCAGTGTTACTACTCTCTTATATCATTCTAGAGTTAGTGTCCATGTCTACAAGTAATTATATATATTTTGGGACTCCTTCCTTCTTACAAGAAGATAAGTATAGGATAACACTTATTTTGTAGCCTTGTTTTGGTTTATACTTAATCTTGGAAAAAGTTGTAGGTACAGTATTCTGTTGAATGAATGTATATTTTATTTAACAAGTCCCTTGGTGATGGACATTCGGAAACATAATGTCTCATTCATACTCCTCATGCTTTTCTAAGAAAAACTTGCTAGAAAATTATAATAAAATTAAGATGAACTTGAAGATAAGCCTTAGTGCTAAGTGTAACTTTTGCTGATACATACTGTTTTCAAATTTTTATTTTTAATTTTTCTTTATTCATTTTTCCAGTGTCAGGTGTTGAACCTAGGGCTTTATACATGCTTGGCTTAACCACTGAGCTATATCTATAGCTCTTTTTCTAAATTTTGAACAAATTTTTATCCAAGAGGACCCATATTCTGTATAGTTTGTTTTTTGGAGGGGGCGGAGGGTGTAGAACTCAGGGGCACTCCAGCACTGAGCCACATCCCAGCCCTATTTTATTTAGAGACAGGGTCTCACTGAGTTTCTTAGTGCCTAACTTTTGCTGAAGCTGGCTTTGATCCTCCTGCCTCAGCCTCCCAAGCCACTGGGATCACAGGCATGCGCCACCACGTATGGCTCTGTATAGTTTTAAATACTAATTTACCTACAATATAAAAATCTTAATAAATATTGAGAATGGCTTGGATTAAACATTATTTTCTATTGCAGAATCCACAATGAGCTATAATATATAAGCACTTCTAGGTTGGGTTCAGTAATCATTTTTAATCCCTGTAACATTTTCAAGAGCAGTACAGGAAGTCCTTAAATCACAATCAGGTAAATCTGGTCAAAAGGAAATTTAAGAAGCAGTGGGAAAGGATATATGTGTGGTTACGGAATCTTTTAAGATTAGCTAGTTTAGCTCTTTGTTGAGTCAGTTAGTTGCCAAGTGCATTAGTAAATACATTAGTAAAAAAAATAGATTTTTTAGAGTATCCTTTAATTTTGAGATAATGGGGGGATGTTTAATCTATTATAAAAATGGCTTGATGATTATTTTTTTCAGTGATTTTTTAAAATATTTTCTATGCATTTCATTTATACCATACTTGTTGCACTATCAGCCTTGCTTGTTATTATCTTTGTTGTGTTGATTTTAGGAGTGCATTTTTTATCATTTAAGAATATACTTTTTTGAAACTTGAGCAGTGAGAAATATGAAGAAACATAATGATTGTACCCTTACTTTAAAAATGTCTTCTATAGGCTACCTGGTTAATTCAAAGAACAGAAAATACCTCTGTAAAAAAAAAAAAAAAAAGAGTATGATTTTTTTAGTTTAGAATAAAAATATCTTTGAATATTTTATCCTCAGCGTAATGTTTCTGTTTTATAGTTTTATAGAAATGCATAATATTCAGTAATATGGTACTGCATGATACATAGCAAAATCCTGATCTTGACCTTAGAAATCTTATACTATGTGTACTTTTAAAAAAAAAATCACTTAACCTTATTTAAAGCTTAATTTCCTTATCAATAGAATGGAATAATAATAATTCCTAGTATGATTTCCTCATAGATTTAATAATCAAAGCTTATTCAGCAAGTGAAAATGAGTTGAAAACAAATATAACAATAGAACTTTTACATGTGCAAATAATAGTTACTATTATGCATTTTTGTTATAAAAATTAAGCTATCAATGTGATATATAGTTTTACATATTACAATGTACATACTGTATATAGCATATATAATAACTATTATATAGATATGCCCACCATTAGAGTTATCCATTTTGTATCAGTTTTCTGCATCAGATTTCTAAGAGCTAGACCTCTAAATAAACTCCACAGAAATTTCCACTCTTTTTATCTTGACTATTTTTGCCCTAAAAATATGCCTTGCTTTCTGCCCTGTTGAACTAAACCAATGGCTCCCAAACTTTAGTGTGCATCAGAATCACCTATAGGGCTAGTGAGAATACAGATTTCTGGACTCCTTCCCAGAATACCTATTTTCATAATCTTGGGATGGGGCCCAAGAATTTGCATTTCTGTAAGGTTCTGGGTTATATAGGTTATGCTGATATGGAAACCACTCTTTTGAGAAGCAGTGAACTAGATTATGTAGAAGGCATATATCGTTTCCCTGTGCCTCATTTTCTTAATTATAGAACTAAGCCATTAAGTCCTAATGTAAACAAATGATTGATCTCTTTTTATCCTCTGACTGAAAAACCCCTACAACTCCCTCACAAATAATGGACTCCAAATTGTAGATACTATTTCTGAACAGTATGCCAGCTTTGTATTTAATAAACTTTTTTAGAATGAAAAAATTCAGCTGACTGAATCTTGAACATTTATGGAAGATTCACTAGGAATTTTACACCAAAATGGGTCATTAGAATGCCAGAAAATTAACTGATGAAATACTAAAGATTCTTTGCAGCTTTGCATTTCTAAGTAGTATGTCCCTCAAATAATTGTACAGTGCAGCTGAGTATAGTGGTGAAAACAATAATTCAGAATAAATTTGCACAATCTTTCATCCTTCAAACTTACGATGACTCTCTAGCTTTCAAAGCCTTTAATAGAAATTTCACCACATAATCTTTAAGGTTCCTTTTGGTGCTAGGATTCTATGATTTTATTTACTTTTTATTTAATGTATTAGTAATAATTTTTTTTGACTGGGTTAAATTATTCAGATTCCTCATTAAAATTTTTAGTGCCAAATTAGGTTTGATACTAAATCAATTTAATTGAATATACATTAGTTATTATGTTAGACAACTATAAGTTGTAGGTGAAATGGCAAGATAAAGGACTGGGTATATTTTCACATATTTTGCACCATAGAGCTTTGGCAATCAGATTTTTTTTGACCTTTCAACTTTTAAAATGTTAATTTGTGAAGCTGGGCATGTTGACACATGCCTATAATCCTAATGACTTGAGAGGCTGAGGAAGGAGGATAGCATATTTGAGGCCAGTATTAGCGGTTTAGCAAGGCCCTAAGAAACTTAGCGAGACCTCTCTCCAAAAAAAAAAAAAAAACCTTAACTTATAAAAATATATTTCATGAAAAATTAAAGTGAACAGAACTTTGAAATTCACTATAATTACAGAAATTATTTTTATTATTTGTGCTTTAACTTGCTTCAAGTCATCTGAGGACAGCTTTGAAGAAGATTGGGATCTCATATCATATTTGCATAATTGCCATCATTATCTGCTAATACAAAAACACTCAGCTTTTAAATACTAAGGTGTTTTTTGTTGTTCTTGTTCTTGTTTTGGTACTAGGGTGTGAATCCAGGGACACTTAACCATGGAGTCACTTCCCCAGTCCTTTTTATTTTGAGACAGGGTCTTTTAAGTTGCCTAGGGCCTAATTAAGTTGCTGAGACTGGCGGCTGGGATTACAGGTATCACCATGCCTGACTAAACACTAAGGTTTTTAAATAAGTGAAAAACTCTTTTCCTTTTGTATCTTTTGTGCAAATGTTTGGGTTGGTGGGGGACATGTGGGAATGTCCCAGTTAGTAGGTAGTTTTTATACATCATATCTTGTGCAGTGCAGCCACCACATAAGACAGATTTGTAAAAAAAATCCTTTTGTGTAGATGAGAAGAATCACAAATGATTATATCAACTTGCTTGTCTAAAATGTCACAAGTAGTAAAAGTAAGATGGGGCATTAATGTCCTGGCCTTACATCAAAATCCCCTATACTTTGTAAAATACTTCACTGAGAATTAGTGCAAAATAACACTTTATTGGTGTTTGAGAAATCCGAAGTGGGGTTTTCAAATATCATGGCAAAAAAATAATAAATGTAATTTGTAAAATTCTTAAGAAAATGATATGAGGCAACTTTAGCCTTTGCATTTAGGTTGCCATGTCCAGCAGCCCAAGTATGAGCCCTACTATATTCTACTGTTTCAATTAAAGAAAGGGAAACAGTCCTCTTCTTCCCATCAAATAAAATTATATATAAATATAATAAAATTATGTATATAATTTTGTCACTGTATACTATGTATACACACACATACACATACACATATATACACACCTTATTATGAAGTGATTTTCAGGGGGAAAAAAATCAAGTCCCAATATCTTACCTAAGGTTAGGTCTGTTTTAATGATGTGCTCTTTGTGTCAGCTATACTATATATTACTAGTAATGATTTACTCTTCATGTTAATCCTATACTATCAAGAAAAAGTTACATTATGTTTAGCATATTTAATGAATGACCAATTTCATATGCTTCATTTAAGGAAATAAATTTATGTACTTAAATTCAAATCAAAGTTGTTTGACATAGTTTCATCTGATAAAGATACTGTAGGCCTGGGAATATGTCAGTAGTAAAGTGGTTGCCTCACATGCACAAGACCCTGTGTTCTGTCCCCAGCACTGAGTTGGGGCGGGATAAGGGTGGAATGTTGAGAATTAAACTTTGTGCTGTATAGAAAACTTCCACCCTTGCAGGTGACATTTGAAGTTTTATTATTCTGACCAGTTAATGTTGTAGTGTCTCTCTGCCTATTAGGCCAACCAGATTTAAATCCATTGAGAATGGAAAATGAGTCTTAAACTTCTTAGAATTGTAATAGATTATTATTAGAATTATAAAGAAAAAAAAGATTACTACTAGAAAGGTAACCTAAGTCAGCACCTTCATTTTACAAATGAAAAACTATAACCAGGAGAAAGGAAGTGAAATATCTGAGTTATAGAACAAGTTAATGGTAGAGCAAGGATTTTTTTTTTCACCATTTGGTATGCTTATAATGGTGATTTGTAAACAAAAGGAACAAAATTAGTTCATAAGTTTGGTGGAGACTTGCCTGTCATCTTTTGCTCCACCTCTTTTTTTTTCTTTTGACAGACCTAAAGGGCATAAAGAAGAGGAAAATCTATTAGAAAAAAATAATAAATCTATTAGGAAAAAAATAATTAGAAAAGAGAAGAATAAAGGAAATAATGACAGTCTGTCACACATGATACAGTGAGTTAGGTATTCGATTAGAGTATCAGGAATCAGCACTTTAAATCCAAGGCCTTCATCAGGTGCTTCCCTGATCCACACTGTCATGGAAGAGTACAAGGAACAAAAGACAGAGAGAGATAAGACTAGCACTCATACATATAAGTGCTAGGAGAAGGCCATGCATGGTTTGGTACTCTCATAGATATCTGTAATATGGTGATGAGTCAAGTCTGGCAAATATTGCCAGCCAACATTTCTCACAGATGAGAAAAATAAGGCTTTGTTATATAGCAAGATGATTAATAAGAAGTGTATTCTTAGTTAATAACTCTTAATTCTAAAATTCAGTATAATCTGTTGTTTAACCAGTTTTTAATAATTAGTGAATTGACTAAAAAGAACAAATATTTATAGTCCTTTTCACATACTTTCTGAAGTTTTCCTGAGGTCATTGTTTATTCCCGTCCATACAATTCTAGATACAAAATTGATAAATATGACTGAAATTAGATGAGAAATTTTTTTAAAAAGCGAAAGTATCATGGCAAATGTAATTTGCCTGATTGTTTTTTCTTTGCTTATATATATTTTTGTATACACACTGTCTTTTCCAAAGTGATAATAGGAGCCCTGATAACAACCTCATGTAAGAATGGTTTTTGAATGAATGATAGGATTTATGAGATTTAAGATGACAGATTTAAGAGGATGTATTACACACTGAGTGGCAATTCACAGCCTAATGTAAATGGATTTTTTAGGTTCAGATCATTATTTTTAAAAATCAGAGCCAACATTTACAGGTTGAGAAATTTTATGTTATAAATTCAGACTTCTGCTTAAAAAACTTAAAAAATTTATCCCAGTGGCTCTGGAGGCTGAGGTAGGAGTATCACAGGTGCAAAGCTAGCCTTGGCAACTTTTTGAGGCCCTTAGCAACTTAGGGAGATCCTCTCTCTAAATAAAATATTTTAAAAAGGGATGGGGATGTGGCTCAGTGGTTAAGTACCTCTAGGTTCAATGCCTGGGATTCCCCCCCCCAAAAAAAAAAAAAATTAAGAAATTTAGGCCACATCCAGCAAAATGAGTGGTGGCTCTTACTTAGAAAGGAGACAAATGGTGGCCCTCATTCATTAATAAACTTCTTCATTCAACAAATAATTTTTGAGATCCTACTGTGCTAGTTATTCATTTAGGCGCTGAGAATATAGAAATGATCAAAATAGATGAAACCCCTACCTCATGGAGCTTACACCCTATCAGGGAGACAAACAAGATAAGTCAAATATTATGCTAGTGATAAATACTAAAAACGAAACAGTGAAACCGAATGGGGGAAAATGAAGTTTGATGTGCATGGGATGTGGAGTTGAAATTTTAGATAAGAGCCTCACTGTAAAAAAGGTGAATTTTGAATAAAGACCTAAAGGAAGTTACAGAGCCTGCCATACAGGAATCTGGAGGAAGAGAATTCTAAGAGCAAATGGAAGGACCTGAGGTTAATGAGGCTGCTAGGTACTTATTCTCTTTTTCTTATAACAGAAATATTTCTGTTGCTATACCTGTCTCAAAATTCAGTAAAGATAAAATGGTCTTCATGTTTTAATAATAGAGAAAGCATATTTGTGGGAAATAATTAATATTTGTAGACAAAGCATATCTTTGTTAAAAAAAATTATCCTAAACAGAATTATGAAATAAAATGGTACCAACTTTGACTAGTGTATAGAAAAGATACTTTAGGAAAAATGTAATGAGTAGAAAGTAGGATTAACATTTTTAACTTATTTTTCAGTTGTAAATGGACACAATATCTTTATTTTGTTTACTTATTTTTATGTGGTGCTGAGGATCAAACCCAGAGCTTCACACATTCCAGGCAAGCTGAGCCACAACCCCAGCCCCAGGATTAACATTTCAATAGGCTTTGTGTTTGCATATGTGTAGTGCAAGGGCTGCTATCAAATATTAAGTAGGAAATTTTCTCATGTATGAGAACCTTTTACAGGTTTGAATTTATAAAATAGTACCCATAAAGTATATTAGAAATTTTTCTCATTAAGTAAAGGCATTGGCAGATTAATGTTATCTCAGTGAGACAGAGAACTTAGAAGACAAGTTACATGAAAAAGTTAATCATTTGTAATATTTTCTGTTATAGTTGATAAACAAACACGTATGAATAACAGAATCTTTCTTAAAGTCAGTGCAGAAGGCAAAGATCTAGAATGGTCCTAATTACTTTTGAAAAATCCATTAGAAAGGTTCAACATAGGTTAGCTTTTTTCCCAGTGTTGGAACTAGACCTCCATTTCCTCCATTGAGCATAAGATGAAATAGTCTGCTGTGTATAGAAAAATCAACAATCCAAAATATTTTAAAATATGAAAACTTCATTCAGCACAGAGGTATAACACACATTGAGAAATATGAAAGAACTAAAGAGGAAAGCATGCACTTGCTCCAGGACATAGTTCCTTAAATAATGCAACATTGCCTTATACTGTATTAAGTATTTATTTTCTGCTCTCATCCAAGTAAATTCAGTGAAAATATTCATTTTTATTGATTAGTTTCCTGTACATAAAATTACTCCATGAAGCAAAAGAAACTAAGTAGTACAAATAGCATGAAATATGGTGATTATTCAGTGGTAGATTTTTTTTTATATATATATACCACTTCCTCCCCTACTTAAAAACTATTTAAGCATACATTAAGGTGAACAATTAATAGCATTATGTGATCTTTGTTTTGGTCTACTATAAAAATCAAATTTAAATACTCTTTGATTATGGTTACTTTTGTTATGATAGGAAATCTTTTTTTTTTTTTAATGATAGGAAATCTTTTTTTTTTTTTTAATTCCGAATTAAACAATGGAAGGAAAAAACATTTGGGTAGTAAAAGTTTTTCTTTCACTTGACTTGTATTTTTAGGTAATGACTCATACATTATTGACCAAGGAATTGATTTCTGAGTGAATAAGAATTTAGAAAAATGTAGGAAGTTTGCTTGAATTTATTGATATATATGGTGTTTTTTTCTGCAAAGAAGATCACTAAAAATAATGGGTATCAGGGCTGGGGATGTGGCTCAAGCGGTAGCGCGCTCGCCTGGCATGCGTGCGGCCCGGGTTCGATCCTCAGCACTACATACCAACAAAAGATGTTGTGTCCGCCGAGAACTAAAAATAAATATTAAAAATTCTCTCTCTCCTCTCTCACTCTCTCTTTAAAAAAAAAAAATGGGTATCTGCAAGATATTACTGAAGGAAAGACAATACACAATCAATTCTTTTTTTTGACTGCTGAGAGAAGAAAAAAACTGAAGAGCATGCCACAGATCATAATCCTCTTAAGACAATGCTATAAAAGTAATTAAAGCCCCAAAAATGCTTGGAAGGATATAGTTTTTAAAAATCATTTCTGTGCTATTTCATAAGAAATCCCAACACTCCTCTCTCCCCCAATATTTATCATCCATAGGTTTCTTCAGATACTTTTCACCTTATTACACTTGCAGGATTCTAAAATTATAAAGCTTGTTGTTGGCCTTAGATTTCTTTCTCATTTTTCTTTTCTCAGTGATAAATTGAGAAAAAACCACTTTTGAAGATTCTTGGCACATCAGAAATTTATCAGAATCAGCTCTGGTGCTTCTTGTAGGTTTCCTTCTTCACCTCCAGACACACTCTAGAAGTACTTGAGAAAATTATAAGCACACCTTTGTCAATTGTTCATTATGTTGGTACTGTACTCTCTGGTAATGTCTTCACCCTTCCAAGCCAGTGAGATGAAAGACAATGAACCTTCCCTCCCTGTAACATATAACAGGTGATTGACATATAGACAGGAATATGATAAGGTACTCTCTTTCACACTTGTAATTTGGGGGACCAAGATATTGTGGCAATGATAAAGACACTAGGAAATAACATTCCATTATCAATTCTCCTATGTATAAAATATCACCAGACTTAAGACTAAATAAAAAATGCCCAGCCTTTATCTTGAATTTAATATGCATTTCAAATTTTCATGAGTTGAGGAGGCTGATTTGTAGTTGTGACTCTTCTTGTTAATTTTCCAGAAATAAATAAATAATTAAACATTTATAGAAATATGTACATATATCCATGAAGTAGATTTTATTATTAGTTTATTTTTCTGCCTTAAATATTAATAATGTACTCTGTGATTTTTTAGGAGGAAACACAATCCTTACTAGAAAATCTGCATGTTTACCATACAAATTATTTTCTGGTTTTGAGATGTCTTCATAATTTCACCTCTTCTCTTCCAAAGTACCCACTGGGTCGACAGGTAATGGCTTTCACATTTGGAATCTATAAAATAGAAATAACAGTGCTTTCTTGTTTTGATTCCTGTAGCATCCAGGCTTCAGAATTTGAAATGGATCTAATTCTTAAAATAAGAGCACAATCCACTCCAGCTGTACATAGTACTAGTAATTGAAAAAGTGTTTGTTGTTTGTTCTATGGCCACAGCTAGAAACAGCCACATGAATCCCAGTGGTATTGTTTCCCCTACAATGTATTTGTGCTGAGGCATTTAAATTTTCTTTGTTTTGCATTTCTTTTTCACCTCTACATACAGAGAGCTAGTTTGCCACTCTTAGTGAACTGGAAAAAGGAATCTGAAAAATGCTTAATGGTTAACCTTGCATTGCACCAAGAATTAAGAGACAGTTCTGCACCTTGCAGAATTATGCTCAGCTAACTTTTGTGTTATACCCTAAAGCTATAACCCATATATGGAGTAGATGTTAATGGAATAATTCCTAACTTTCAGATCCTTAACTTAAAGTTTTGGGAAACAAATACAAGTATATAAGAAAGACTTGTTTATGAGATGCTTTCAACCTCAGTGGGCCTTTTTTTCCTCACATTTATCATTTTCTTACTGCTAGGTAACTAGTGGTATTAGCCAATCCTTATATTATATGTTCTTATTTTACTTTTATTAAAATTACATTCTTGAAGAGTCTGATCCATATAATAAATGCCAAGGTTGTTTTTCATCTAAAAAAATTAGCTTTTAATAACATAAATTTTGTGTGTGTGTGTGTGTTGGCTCTATATGTATGATTTTGCAAACTAGCAGAATATACCTTCTTGTATGACTTTTAGTTCCTCACAAATGTTGTTCACTTATAGATCAGAGAGTTGTACTGCACATGTTTAGAAAAGAACATATGGGATTCAGAGGAGTATGCATCAGCCTTGCAGCTGCTGAGGTAGGTTTTTTTTAATTGTTGTTGTTTTCTTTTTTTGTCTGCTTTAAGCCTGCCAGAAACACCTTCCTCCAGAACTCTGCCTGCCGAAAAGTTTCATAAGTAGCCATATCTTGAATTTATGCTTATAGCTGTGGTGTTTTTAATCTAGTAACAATCCATTTTTTTTTCTGGCATATATTCTTGAATTCATGCTTATAGGTGATGATGTTTTTAATGTAGCAACAATTCATTTCTTTGCTTGTTTTTGAGCTTTGATTTTTAAAGGAAAATCTGTGATTGTTTGGTCATATATTGACACTATGCAAGAAGAGCTTAAATGGGGATTATTTTAATTCAGTCAACCTAACATCATGGCAGGGAAAGTTAAGTCATGGAAGACAGCCATGGCCCTGACTTCATTGGGTAGAGAAATGGCATCATTGAATTGTATATACCATATGTAGGAGGTCACAAAGGCTGGCCTTGATTAGGAAGTAACAAGGAGTAAGGCTTTGATGCCTTTGTCCACCTAAACTGGCCCTATACACTTTAACATTGGATAATTACTTATCTAATATTATATAGTAAGATGTCCTAGTATTATTACCAGGTATCAAAAGATCACTTATCATCCCTGACAAATAAACCTTTTAAAGTTGTACTCATATTTTCCTAGGCATGGTGGTGCTTGCATATAATCCCAGCAATTTGGGATGCTGAGGCAGGAAGATCACAAATTTGAGGCCAGGTTAGGCAACTTAGACCCTGTATCAAAATAAAAAATAAAGGGTAGAGTGCTTGCCTAGCATGCATGAGGCACTGGGTTCGATCCCCAGCACCACATAAAAATAAACAAATAAAATAAAGGTATTGTATTCATCTACAAGTAAAAATATATATATATATATATTAAAAAAATTAAAAAGGGTTGGGGTTGTAACTCAGTGATAAAGCATCCCTGGGTTCAGTCCACAATACTACAGGGAAAAAATTATACTCATCAGTATCATTGACTTTACTTCTTATATGTATGGTGACTTTTAGTTTTCCATGAAAGAGTGATCACTTGGATAGTGAGAAAGGGAAATCAAATGTGACTAAGTTTCTGCACACAGTCTTGTAGTTTTCCTCAGTGGATATAAATGCCAATATGAAAATATTATAAAATATAAAAACTGAATATTTTTTTTAAGTCCTCATTTCCTCTGGTCCACAGAAAAAAACAGATGGGCATAGTAGGAGGCAAATTCACACTTAAAGCACATTAAGTCCAAAAACGTAATACAAATATTAGTGCTTTAGCAGGTGCAGTGTTAAGATATGAAACTAATTTCATGCTATCTGGGAAAATAACTCCCCATGGAAACTTGATTGCTACTGAAAAACTATTTTTTATTCTATTTTTTAAAATTCCAATAAATGATTTCTATGTACTTATAAACTTGAACAAGAATATTTCTGAGATTTATTTGTTTTGTATTCAAGTAAACATGTCTATCTTAAATACCCAATTGGTTCTTGCTGGGTTTTCTGTTCTAATTTCATGATTAGTGATTTTCTCCCTTTTTTATATAAATATGCTCAAACTCATAGATTCCTTTGTCAAGTAGGAAGTTGTTCCTTTGCTTTTGAACCTCCGTGACACTGCTGATCTTGGTATAGTCAAGGATCAAGAATGACAATTCAAAAATAGGGTAAGCAGGGCTGGAGATGTGGCTCAAGTGGTAGCGCACTCGCCTGGCATGCGTGCGGCCCGGGTTCGATCCTTAGCACCACATACAAAGATGTTGTGTCTGCCGATACTAAAAAATAAATATTGAAAAAAAACCTCTCTCTCTCTCTCTCAAAAAAAAAAGACAAAACAAAAATAGGGTAAGCAAACATACGTAACAATAGTAACCACCATTCATTGAAGACTTGCAATGTGCCAGACACTGCATTAAGGCACTTTAGTTAATTTTCCCATTTAATATAGTTCCTCTTATGGTAGGTATGATTAGCCACACTTGACCTCTGATGCAGCTGAAGCACAGATAGGATTTATTGACTTGCCTGAGATCACTTAACTGTTGATGGGACCAAAATTCTAATACAGGTCTGACTCTAAAGCTATTTATACCAGCTGCTGTTCTTTATCAAAATCTAAAATATAGGTTTGGGAATGTGAATAAAAGAAGAAACGTACATAGAAAATGAGATTTTAGTCATTTTCCTAAGCTCAGGTCTGAAACATGGGTGGTGAAAAGTGTAGGAATATAAAAAAGCATTGGGAATCAGAATAGCTGCTATAGGAAGAACAGACAAGAATCTGGACATTACTGAAGAGGAAAGAAATCTGGGAACCTCTAGAATGGAGTGAGTCTTTTCTCTTTTGTACAGATTAGATGTGGACAAGAAGTCAAGGACATTTTTCAGTTTAGACATTCTACATAAGAATAATTTGAGTTAGAAAGCCAAGCATTCTTACTCCCTATCTTCAAACTTAAATTCATAAGAGGAACTAAGATTAAAATCATCACTGAGTGTTGCTTTGGAAAAAAAAAAATTAGGTATTGTGTCCATCTACAAGTAAAAAAATATATATATATTAAAAAATTAAAAAGTGTTGGGGATATAATTCAGTGGTAAAGCTTCCCTGGGTTCAGTCTGCAGTATTGGAGGAAAAAAGTTATTCTCATCAGTATCATTGACTTTACTTATATGTATGGTGACTTTTAGTCTTCCACAAAAGATAATGATTACTTGGATAGTGAGAAAGGGAAATCAAATGTGAGCTAAGTTTTACTAAGGTACCGTAGAAACGAAAATCTTATAAAATATTTTTAAATTATTTTGTAAAAGTTACTGAAGATGGTATTTCTCATGAAAAATCCTTTTTCCCCCTGTGGAAACTGGCATGTTTCAATAACCACTGATCTACTTCATGAATATTTGATGGCCATAGAAGTATGTATAAGGAGATTGGAATGGTGATGGGCACCTGTAGTCTAGCTTATTATTCATATTTGACACAGGTCATCACTTCTTTCTTAATGACTTTTAGTACTCAGACCCTCTTTGTCTTTCTCCTGTCTCAGTGTAGGCTCCTTGTCAGTCTCTCTAGTGTTTTCTCTTCTCTCTGATAACCTAACATTACAGCACCTGAAGCTTAGTCATAAGCCCACAGCTCTCTTGTGAGCGCCAGACTGTTATTGTTCATATACCATTTAATGTCACCATTTGGATATCCAGTACACATTTCAAAGTTGACTTATTCAAAACTGAATTCCTCATCATCCCCTTGACACCTAGCATTTTTCTGCATCCTTCCAGTTCTTCAAGCTAAAGACATGGGCTCTGCCTTAAAAATTTATCAGGAACCAAACCTCCTCCTCTTTAACTGTTACCATCTTGTTTTAAGTTGTTATCATCTTTCACCTGGGTTTTTACAGGAGCCTTCTATCTGGTTTTCCTGCTTCCCCATTTGCTTCTATACAGGATTTTCCTCAAAACAGAAGGCAGAATAGTCCATTTAAAATATAGCTAGTAATGTCATTCCATTTGTCAAAATCCTTCATTAACTCCCCATTCACTGAGGGTAAAAGCCACAGTCTATACATTAACAATACATGATCTGCCAGCCACCCCCATTATTTAGTGGTTAAGGTTTGGTTTTTGTCATGGTAGTTATTTTGTTTTGCACCTAATGTTCTACCGTGGACACAGTGACAATGTTTCGTGATGCAGTATATAACATGGTCAGCAAGAGCGTGAATATCAAGCCAAATTGTCTGAGTTCAAATCCCAAGTTTGCCAGTTACTAGCCTTGGGACTCTGGACAAGTTACTTAAATTCTTTGTGCCTCTGTTTTCTCATCTCTAACGTGGGAATAATAATACTATTTCATAGTGAATTGTAAATATTATATGTGTGCATATAAGTGTTAGCCATCATCATGGTAACACAGATTGTTCTACCTCATTATTTATTATCTTTATATAATATCCTGTGTTTTAGAAGCATAACTTTTTTTAACAGATACAGCATTTTTTATACCTTTATTTTATTTATGCATATTTAAGTGGTGCCGAGGATCAAACCCAGTGCCTTGCACATGCTAGGCAAGTGCTCTACCACTAAGTCACATACCCAGCCCCTAGAAGCGTAACTTTTAATTATTTCTTTTTTGGATATATATTTAGGTTGTTTTAAATTCCCATTACAAACAGTAATCACAGCATATATGTTTACACATTTGTATAATTTCCACAAAATGAATATATAGATATAGATTTCTGAGTCTAAAATACAAAGACTATTGTATCAGCATACACTAGTATGTCAGTGTGCTTTTTTCCTATATATATCTTGGTCTCTTTGTGGATTTTTAATATCTTCTATTGACCTATCTGTTCTTCAGTAAGGACCATCTGATTTTAATCACAGAAGTTTATACTTTTTGATGTATTAACAGCCCCAATACCTGCACTAAAGTACACAACACATTGTTCTTCTTTATCAAAAATGATTTTTTTCCAGATAAATTTTATTGAACTTTTAAAATATACCCACCGGAATTTTGTTTCACACAATGGTAGAATGTAGATTGATTTGGAATGATTTGTATCTGATAATATTGAATATTAGAACTTAAACTGTTAATCGTTTATTCAGAGCTTTCATAACTTTATAGGTCTAAAACATTTTGCTATAGTGTACATTGCTGAATATTCCAATTTTTGTTGCTTTTTTTTTAAGAAAACTGTAAAACTAAAAGAATTCCAAGTTGGTTAACCAATATAAGAACAGTTTGCATTTTTTCAGCCCATCTTCATTTAAATGTCTGACTTTTTCATTACCTGCTTCTGGCATTTTAGTGGGCTCTAAGACTGATACAGACTCCCCTCTTGACATCAAGATTATTTTTTTGTTTACATTAAGTTTGTGGTTCCTATTATTGAGGTTGTTCATCACCATACTGCTGAGCAACCATAGGCTCAACTGGCTGAGAAGATTCATGTTCATCTCATCTTCCTTTAGATTTAGTTGATGATCTTACTTCCTCACTTATATTTCACATGGGTGAGTCTCAGTGAGAAGGAATGAAGTCTTCAGAAAGAATCAAGATATGACCTTCCTGGCACATTTCAGTTTTTGAGGCCATTTTGAATATGTTGTTTTTTCCATTACATAGTTTAATATATAGGTATTACTTATGTGTATATGGATGTTTACACACCCACACATGTTTATCTTTTTTCATCCACCCCTTTACTCAAATATTTTTATCGTACTTAGATTTTATCACTGTACAGTTGGTCACATCATATGCAACTAATAAATTTTATCTTCCTTTTTATTGTTTGAACTCCTTGCTTCTTTTAATTTACTATAGTGACTAGAGTCCAGAATGATGTTGAATAATAGAAATGAGAATAGATATCTTTGTTGATTCTGTGTGTGTATAATTTTACTGGAAAAGATTTTAACTAATAACTCTTTGGGTTGATTAAATTATTATTTCTAATTAGCTTTAGATTAAATCTTGTTTTGTGTGAAACCAGTAGGTACTTGAAAAAGGTATAAGATCTTCTAGTAACCTGGAAATAGTAAGAACATAATCTTAGTTGGGCAGGGTGGTGCACTCCTATAATTCCAGCTACTTGGGAGACAGAGGCCAGAGGATGGCAGATTTAAAGCCAGCCTGATTTACTTAGTAAGACCTTGTCTGAAAATTTAAAAGGCTAGGATATATATAGTTCAGAGGTAGAGTACTTGTCTAGCATGTGCAAAGCCCTGGATTCAATCCTTATTACCACAGAAGGAAGAAAAAAAGAACATGATCTTAGGCTAACAGTAAGAGGAGTAACAAATATCTGAATCTCAGAAAGTTTACATCTGAGGTAAAAGATCTGCCTCTTTCAAATGCACATTAGAAGTTATGACTACAAAAGTTTGCCTGTTTTCAAAATTATATGACATAATACCTTTTTTTGGTTTTGCATACTGAAGTTTAATAATAGACTAGACTTGATCTTCCTCCATGTTCCTTTGTTTGTATCTCAAAGTGGAGGAGAAATGTGGCAGTGTATAGCTGGGAAGTTAATCCTCAATGTATTACTGATATAGGTTAGACCTCCAACATTACCTAATCTTCTGCTCCTCTCCAAGCAAGCCAGTGCCTTTGAATCCTTGGACACTGGAAATACTGACTTTGTCTATTAGAGTAAGGCTAAAGCTCAGGTATAATGGATTGTTCAAATGCTTTGAGTTAACTCTCTTAACAGTTTAATTTCATCTGACCAATAGAAAGCAAGAAACTTTAATTAAATCTCTAGGGTAATCAAGAATGAAATGTCTTAGCCTATTTTTCTTTGACCTATTAGCTGTCTTTCATTCACAGATAAAAGATTATGCTTTAGATAATTGTTGTAGAAAGAAGAGAATATTTTATGCTGTTGCTTAACACTGTGGAAAATTTTTTGTCTACCCCTACCAGTTTCTGTAAACTTAAGTTTATTTTACAAAATGACCATATTCTGGGTTTGACTGTGTCTTTATGGTTAATATTAGATCTTAATCTTTTTTTTTTTTTTAAAGAGAGAGAGAGAGAGAGAGAGTTTTATTTATTTATTTATCAGTTCTCGGCGGACACATCTTTGTATGTCGTGCTGAGGATCGAACCCGGGCCGCACGTATGCCAAGAGAGTGCGCTACCGCTTGAGCCACATCCCCAGCCCAGATCTTAATCTTAATAATTGTAACCTTACATCATTTATATACTTGTGTAATGCAACCTCTTAATAATTACTAGTATTGACCCTGGCTCCATTTGATGATGTTATTTGAGTACAGTCTTAATGGAGAAATCCTGTAAATGATGACTCTGAGAACAGGATCCTAATTTTAGATTATCTATATTTACTCTCCATTTCTTTTTTTTTATTATTATTATTTTTCTTTCTTTTTAAAATATTTTATAGTTGTTGATGGACTTTATTTCATTTATTCATATGTGGTGCTAAGAATTGGACCCAGTGCCTCACCCATGCTAGGCAAGCACTCTACCACTGAGCCACAACCCCACAACCCCTCACTCTCCATTTCTAACAAAGATTTGTTTAAAGTTCAGAGGATTTGCTGGCTGATGTTCGTAAAGTCCTTAGGAGATTAAAATACAGTTAAATGGTAATAATTAGAAAAATGATAGTGATACTTATATTTTTGGTCATTTGAAGCAAGCTTGCATTTAGAAGTCAGATCTTCAGTAGAAATTCTTGAATTCTGGGTATATTCACATCAGAAAGAAAAGGAAACTTAACATAAAATGCCTTAAGTGTCCTAGTTGCCATACTGGATTCTTGAAATGCATTTAAGTCTCCATCTAACATGCAAAATATGACAAGAAAACAAACCTAGGATCAGAGGTGTATAGTAAACTCACTCCGTATTACTAAATTCATACTACATTACAAACATAGTATGTGTCAAAGCTAGGTTGTAAACCCAGATCTCTGTATATTTTCAAAGCCAAGCATTATGATGAGAACTCTTCAAGAGTACTTCTGAATGTCACATGTGTTGAAGAAAATTGAAGCAAGAGATATACTCAATAGTAGAGGGCTTGCGTAGCATGCACAAGGCCTTGGGTTGGATCCCCAGCTCTGCAAAAGCAAGCATTGAAGAAAAATCTCTCCCCAAAAACGTCAGTAGCTACTATGGAAGAACTTACACCATTTTCTTCTAAACAGAAACATTTAATATATAGAAAATATTTTTGAATTTTTTAAATTTTGCAGTTATATTACATTTTCTTTCACTGATTCTTTTCTAGGATGTTGGCAAAGGATGATCTGATGACCATACTTCAGAAATGTTTCAAGGTTTTTAAATCCTCTTCTGAAAAGCAGCTTGGCAGCACAGCAAAGAGAATAGAGGAATTCCTGGCCCAGTTTCAGAGCCTCGATGGTGAGAGTATAATATCCTGCCAACTCTACTGGCTGTGATAGTCATTTAACCAAAAGGACATGGAAAACCCCTCCTGATATGCTGAGAGATGAAGAGATAAAATAGTTCCTGATCATTCAGTATACCAGGCCTGAGAATGTCACATCTTAACCAAATGCTTTCCTTCTAGATTTGGTTTAATCAATGAAGAGTATCAAACAGGCAGGAAAATTTTATTTTTCTTCACACACACAGTTTGGAGAACTTGTCTTTAAAAAAGCAACAAAAAGAAATGGAAAAGATTAGAGAGTAGCAGGGCATCACTATTGATGACTCCTTTTAGATGTTTTTTCTTAAACATTTCATCAAGTTCTTTATAGATTTCAAAAAGACTGCATAAATCATTTGTAAGCCTGAAAAATTAATAGCTATGAACTGCTTTCACAGCAGTGAGGCTCATTAGTATGCTGATTACCAAATATGCATGGGGCTTGCTTTAATCAGATTTACAGAACCTTGAATCTTTCAGTCCTAAATGAACTGAGACAACCTGGCACTTCTCAGTGTTGGAGGTTCAGAGTTTCTTTTATTTTGGTGACTGTGACATAATCATTTATATTTTCTGAATACTTGGGGTTCCTGACTATGTGTAGGTAGGTAGTCATGTTCTGTTTCCTAGTGCTTCAGGTCTTCTGTGTTCTAATAGGACCCACAGATTGATACTGATAAATAACTTTTCCTGGGCTTTATCTTGCTCTATTTCTAGTACCAGGACATGATGCTAGGAAAAATATGGGTTATGTAACTTTTACTTTTCCCCTATTTAGGTGAAGTTTTTAATGAAATATGGGGAAGGAGGTAGTTTGGTATTTACAAGCACATAGAGATGGCATGGTGAAAATATCTTAATTGGAATATCCATTTTAATCCTTTATATGTTTCCCAAGTATTTCTTCGTGTTGAAAATCTTTTGGATTTAGGGCTGGGGGTACTGAGGATATAGCTCAGTGGTAGATTGATTGCCTTATATGTGTGAGACCATGAGTTCAATTCCCAGTACTGGCAAGAAAAAATCTTTTAGGTTTAGAAAGCATTTTTTGCAGAAAATCTTTCCATGTCTCCCTATAGCTCTAGTACAAAGCACCTGATGGGTGCTCAGTTCTAGAAGATGAAAGCAAAAATTTCCCTGACTAGAGTGGCAGATATAGACAGAGTGAGGAAGTTTTCCATGGGCATTAAAGAGATTCCTCCACATCCTATATTTCTCTCACCACCATAGCATAATCTGAACCACTTTTCAGACCATGGAAATTTTAAGATCAAGAAGTTAAGAGAGGGGCTGGGGATGTGGCTCAAGCGGTAGTGCGCTCGCCTGGCATGTGTGCGGCCCGGGTTGGATCCTCAGCACCACATACAAATAAAATGTTATGTCCGCCGAAAACTAAAAAATAAATATTAAAAAATTCTCTCTCTCTCTCACTTTCTCTTTAAAAAAAAAAAAAAAAGTTAAGAGAATTTAGTCAAATTGCAATCAAAACTGAAGTCCATGAAGACAATAACTTGTTTGAGGCTGCACAGCTACCTAGTGGCAGCACCCAGACTAAATAGCTCACTTCTCTTCGCAGCCCAGCTTATTGTTTATTTTGTTTTTGTTTTTTTCTCACCAATTCATAAATTTAATGCACAGAGAGGGGCCACCCTTAAGGACACAGGGCAAAAAACCTAGAAGAATATAAGATAAATTAGGTAGCTTTCAATCTAGTGAATAAATTCTGTGATATTCTAGCACTATATAAAGGAATGCAGTTTTTTCAAATGGGAAGTTTGAAGATTAAGATGATTTGAACCCTAAAGAATAAAGAATTTGCACCAGGTGCATTGATGCACACTTGTAATCCCAGTGGCTCAGGAAACTGAGACAGGAGGATCTCGAGTTCAAAGCCAGCCTTAGCAATGGAGAGGTACAAAGCAACTTATTGAGACCCTGTCTCTAAATAAAATACAAAATTGGGCTGGACTTGTGGCTCAATTGTCAAATGCCCACGTTTAATCCCCAGGACCCCCCAAAATAAAAATAATTTTAAAAGAATAAAGAATTTTACAAATTATAGCAAAACCATTCTCTTGAAGAAGTGGCTTGATTTTTTAGTAATAAGTTAACATTAGTAACAAAGTGTAATTCAAACTCCCCACATTAAATAAATAGAAATATTTGACTATATGCTAAGTGTAATTCAAACTCCCCACATTAAATAAATAGAAATATTTGACTATATGCTATCTCTGGCTCCTTATCAGTTAGGGAGGGTTAAGTAGGGCAGAAAATTATATCAGCTCTATCTTTAAGATAGCTACATGTTAATAAAATGTAATAAAAAATGTAATAGATGTTTTAACCTAGTATCTTCCTTGAGCAAGGAATTATTTATAGCTAAAAGAAATTTCTTTCAGAATCATATATATTCTGTAGCTACATCCTTCTGTCGTAAGATTTGGGTCATGTGTCATGCAAGTGTCAGTTCCCAAAATATACCCGCACTTGGAAGAAGGTATCAGAACTTCATGCTCTACAGGAGCAGTTGTACAATTACTGGTTAGTGGATTATTTCACAACTTTTGCATATTACCCTCTTCATACTCAATGTTATATTAAAAATAGTGAATTGGGTGGTTGAAAACCAGATTTGTCAGGTTGTAGATTATATTGTTTACAATCTTGATATAGTCAAAGGAAAATGGTTAAAGTTTGTATGATTTTTAACAAAGGTATTTATAATAGCACAAATATTTGAGACTTTCTGCTGTTGATTTGAGGGGAGTTTGGTTTCATTGCTTTGTTTTCATTATGGTAACACTTTAAATTCAGTAGCTAGGTTTTAAAAACCTCGCTACAGCATAAATTATGAAACTTTATTGACCTTCAGTTTCTGGCAGAAATATCATTTATATAATGGAACCTTGATCCCTTGCCACATTTGAAAAAAAGAAATGGGTGAAAATTTTACTTCCTTTGGATTAGTACAACTGTTCTCTTGTCTTGGATTTGCACTAATTGCTATATATTTGTTTTATATTAAAAGCAGATGCCAAAGAGGAAGAAGATGCTTCTGGGTCACAGCCAAAGGGCCTTCAGAAGACAGATCTCTATCATCTTCAGAAGGTCAGATCTCTTTTTTTTTTCCTTTTAGCTGCATCATGTCATGTTCCCCTTTTTCACTTTGTGCTCTAGATTTGTCTGGATGTTTTTGTTTTCATTTTAAACCACAGCCAGGAACAATGCAGACTTTGTAACTCACTTATAAATCAAACATCCTGTTTATCCTACTGCCATCCTCAACTGCACTTGTACACTCTGCAATTTACTAGTCAACTAGGTGGAAACTATTCCAATAGACTCAGATAAACAGAATTAACTAGCAACAAGGGAAATGTGGAAGCATGGTTGCCTCCCACAAAAAAGAATCTGATTATTTATCTGGTGAATTTATTTTTCTGTTTGATCAAACTGAAATATTCAAAAAAGCCTAACTCATTAGTTTTAGATATTTATTTTAGTTTTTTCATGCATATTCATAATTTAGAACACAAATTGAACTACAGTATGTCCAAAATATTCTTTTTTTAAAAAAACGTTGTTTGGTTGGAGGTAGATATAATACTTTTATTTTATTTATTTATATGTGGTGCTTCACATGTGCTGGCGAGTATTCTACTGCTGAGCCACAACCCCAGCCACGATATATTCTTTTTCAGATAGTTCTAACTTTAGGATCTTGATTGTCAAAATGAAGAATTTTCTCTACCATGATACCAAGTTAGACAAATGTAGTATGAAGTTTCATTCTTCACAAGAAAACACATAGAATCTGTTCTGTTAGTATGGCTTTATGCAAGGTGATGGTAATGATAGTTCTCTTCTTCTTCATCTCTTCCTCCTTTTCTTTTTCCCTTTCTTCTTTGAACTAATGTGTTGTGAATAGTGAGCACTCTGCTACACAACTTACTAATAAAGTGAACTGCCCTTTCTCTCTCCCTGAAAACCCACTTGATGTATATTTAAAGCAGTACATCTGAGAGGAGAGATTCTTGTTAGACCCTACAAATAAAAAAGTAACACCCATTTTGATCTGTACATCCTCCTTAACCAAAGGGCATCCACTATCTCCACCTGAGTAGCAGAGATCCCTCTGAAAAATTTTCTATCTCAGAATCACCATGAAAGGTATTCTTTCACCTTTTAGTCCTTATTGGAAATGAAGGAGTTGAGAAGAACAAGTAAGAAGCAAACCAGGTTTGAAGTACTCAGAGAAAAAGTTGTGAACTTCATTGACTGTCTGGTGAGGTGAGTCTCTAGCTATTTTTATGAGTCATGCTATTTTTTTAAATAATACTGGCATAATAGCTGTCTATCACCAATCCAGGATTTTTTTTCTCCTGGCCAGCTTAGAATTTTAATTTCAATTCCTTTTTTTTGTTTGTTTGTTATTAAAATACCTAATCAAATGACTTAGCTTATTCTTTACTGTCGGTTCAAGAACACCAGTTTAAGTTTAATTTTTAGTGTATTAGGCCAGGTGGGAAGAGTCAGGGAGTTAGAAAGTGTTTTCCCCTTTCTAATAACAAAGTGTTTATATTACACTTCAGTATTGCTGTACCTTTCCTAGTACTGAATGTTGGATTGGGCCAAACCCAGAAAACAGGCTGAGCAAACTAGCCATGCAGTTCCATTTTGTCTAATTCTAAAGACAGTGCAACTACAATCAGCATTAAATTCATGTTGAGGCATCTACTTAGTAAATGCAGAAGTCTACCAATCAACCATTTATTTTACAATGATTCCTTCTTGGGAAATCCAGATTATTTTGAATCATGGATTGCCCAGAAGCCAGCTTTACGGTTCATGCTTTAAAAAAAAAAAAAGAAGAAGAAGAAGAAAAGAAAAGAAAGAAAAAGGTATACAAAAGGAAATGATTTAATAGTTAAAAAGAGAAAAATAATTATCAGTTTATTTTTTTGTTTGTTTTTTTAGAGAGAGAGAGAGAATTTTTTTTTTAATATTTATTTTTTAGTTTTCAGCGGACACAATATCTTTGTTTGTATGTGGTGCTGAGGATCGAACCCGGGCCGCACACATGCCAGGCGAGCGTGCTACCGCTTGAGCCACATCCCCAGCCCCAGTTTATTATTTTTTAATGGCAGTTCATACATTACTCACTAAACAGAAAAAAAGTACTAGAAAAAACAGCTGCTCGGTTATTGAAGACAGTGATTTTCTGACAGATAAACATGCTCTTCCAGAAAGTGATGTCTCCGTTTTCTAAGATCATGGGGCCAGAATCATTGTTTCTAGTTTATTGGGAAGAATTTATTAATGCTATGAAAGTGGCAAAATTATGACAAGCAGAAGGTTAAAGAGAAATGTGTCATATGAACTGTAATTCATTCTGCTGTCATATATAAAGACTAGAGAGAGAGAAATGTATCATAACAAAATGATGCACTCCAATATTGAACTGATATACTGGTCAAGAATTTCATTTTAGAACAGATAGAAGTAACTGCCCTATGAGGTTTTCTGTTCTTATAGTTTCTATCCCCAAGCTCTTGACTCTTCTTCCCTTTCGCCAAGTTGTGACTAAGAATTTTTCCATGTGATTTAGAATCATCTGTAAGCCAGACGTCAGTTTCCTGAGTTCTTACAAGTTCCAAATCGTAGGCTGTGAAGTAAAACCATCCATTCCCCCTTTTATGATCTTTGACCTAATATGCCTGACTTTTTAATGTTTCTGAACAGTTATTGAAATAATGCTGAGCATGATTGAAATGTGTTCTGTTGTGAAACTACAAAATATTCTATAAGAATTTATTATCTTTACTAAGATTTTCTATCATAAAAAGAGATTAGGATTGTAAACTAAAAGGAAGTGAGGAATCATATATCAGCTAAAGCCTAGAGAAAGGTATGGCTACCTGTGTCACATAGTCCTAATCTCCTGACATCTGCCAAAAGGCCCTCCCCTTTCTGCACATTGCCTTGAAGGAGAACACTACAGATGTTTGAATAGAGTTTGGAGTTCTGGAGAATATAAGCCATTGACTTAAGGAGATGGTAGGTTCACAGTAGATCAGGAACATCTCTTGGCAAAAATACTGACAGATCTGAGATTAAGTTGCCAAATGTAAAGAATTAAGAAAAAAAAAAGCTGCCACTTTTTTGTTTGATTTTGGTGCTATTTTGTTGATTTTGGTGCTATTTTCACCAAAATCAAGCTTTGACTTTATAGCCCTTGTTGATAAAAATCTTAACAGTTCCCTCAGAGGTATCTCTTTGAGGAAGGGTCTAACATTTGTTGTAAACTCTGACCTAAATCCAGATGAACATCACAAAGTACTCTGGTGCCAGATTCATTGCTTCTTTCTTATCAAAGCAAATCAGTTGCCCAAGCAATGGCATTTTTATGCCAATCCCCAAGTATACAGTTGGACAAAAATTCCTGTGTATGGTGCTGGTGTATTACTATTATTCAATGAATGTAACCTAGTGGAAACAAAATAAAGCAGATACTTTGTTTTCCTTTTGATGGAGATTCTTTGAGAATCTCGAAAAGGTGTTTTGACTTGGTATTTGTCTGAGTTTTTAAACATTACTTGAAGACAGGAAAAGGAACAGAAGTACAAATGTAAGACAGTAATTTGAGTTTCTATAATCATCTCTATCCAATTGCCTTGTTAAATATCCAGTCTTTATTACTTAGCAGGAACTTCAGCAAGGTCTTTTAGTGATAGCCATGATAATGGTTGGGAGTAACTGTATGAAATTGGTATAGGAAGAGTTTATATGGTCAGTAATTACAAATTGGTAACTAGCCATCCAAGGAGGCAGTCAGCATCACATAAGTCATTTTCTCAGCGAATTTAACTCAGTCTTGAGTAATTGAGATAGTAAAAATGTTAGTCTTTAGTGAGGATCAAGTCAAAATCAAACTCTTTGCAAACGGGTTTTGTTCCTGGACTCTGGAGAAGGAACAGCACCTAGAAATTGAATGAGTAAGTCAGGAGCTCTTGATAAAGGAGGAGAGAGATGGTGAGGAATGATGTGCATGTTGAATGTCCTTTTGCTTCCTATCTTTTTTCAAAACCACTGACCTAACCAGAGTAGAGCAAGTATAGAAGACTTTTCTAGGAAGTGTGGTAACTTTTCCAAAAGGAGGACAGAAAGTTAGAAGAAGAGAAATTATTTCATTATTCCAGGAGAGGAGAAATAATATCTCCTGTGGCTGAACTAGGGTAGCTGCTTGATTTGCTCTGCCTACACTAATTGAAAAAGAGCTGACACAGTCTGTAATGTGGCTAACAGACTTTAAGCTCAGGACTGAATTAAGCCCTGGGAATCTTCTTTATGAAGGCATGTGAATTAACTAATCTAGTTCGTAACTTATTACTGTTTTCGATTGTGTATGCCAAAGCTCCATTCCAGTTCACTACTCTCCAGGCCACCTAAGAATAATGTTACTGTCATGTCACAGACCAGCTGATAGGCTCATACTTTTTTGGGGAGAGGTACCAGGGCCGGATATTAAACTCAGGGGCATTTGATCACTGAGTTGCTTAGCACCTCACCTTTGCTGAGGCTGGCTTTGAACTTGAGATCCTCTTGCCTCAGCATCCTAAGCCACTGGGATTACAGGTTTGCACCATTGTGTCTGGCCTAGGCTCATACATTCAAAGTAAACCTTTTAATGCCTTATTTTTAAAGTTTAGATTTTATTAAAATTGATTTTCCATCTAGCTTGTAAGTGAAAAATTAAAGAATTATGAGATAATGTGGGTTTTTTAACAATTGGTATTTTATTGAAGTTTTTTAACACACTGAAACTAAAATTTTAGCAGCCTTTACTGATGCTAAAGTAAAAACTAATCGTAGTATATTTACAGTAACTCTTTCCTTGAAAGATATCAACTAAAATATTTTTTGTGATCCAAAATGAATTTCCTCAAATTAATTCCAGGTTTGAGGCTGTGTATGACATTGCCAAAAAACCCAAATGCTTGCTGTGTTAGAGAATGGATACCTCAGTTTTCTGAATAATTTTTAATTTAAGAAATTTGTTAATATTTTAAGAAATTCCACTTTAAAGTAAGAAGAAATGTAATATATGTTCATTTGTTTCTAAAGATTTAATTCAGAACTGAGATATGTAGTTTCTTGTACTGTAAACAATCTAGAAGTAGTGTTTAAAAGTATTATATGGATTTTTGCCCTGGATCCAATACTTGAATTTTGTTTCTTTTGCTGTTGATTTTGCTTTTTAATAAATTGTTCAGTCCCTTCATAGAGGATTGAAAAAACTGTTATTAAAAATAAACCTATGCTAACCTAAAAGCTGATAACCTGACTCGGAATGTTTCAGAGAATACCTTCTGCCTCCTGAGACTCAGCCTCTGCACGAGGTGGTGTACTTCAGTGCTGCCCACACTCTTCGTGAGCACTTAAATGCTGCTCCACGTATCGCCCTCCACACTGCACTGAACGATCCTTATTTTTATATAAAGGTAAGAAGCAGATTCTGATCTCTCACAGCTGAGCTTAGGCCAAGGCTTCATTGCCACAAAAATATTGCAAGTTTTCAGTTCTGTTTTAATGAGCAGAGAATAAGTAGCTCAGGGTTCGTGGTAGTAGAAAGCTTGGATAATTTCATATTTAAAAAACAATAATAATCACAATTATTTTTGATACATAAATCACAAATGTAAAACTTACAAAGTTTATCTTCTTTGCTAGTAGTAGCTCACAAAAGAAAAGTATGATTTCAGTAGCATTTGGGAAGGTAGGCTATCCTGTGCAGCTCATGTATGTGAGAGTTTGTTTCTTAATAAAGAACCATAATTTCAAATATGTTGCAAAAACAGGTGGTTTCTACAGAATGATATGAATTGTTGAGAACTGTCTTTTGAGAGATGACTTATATCCCTAGTAGTGAAATGTTGATATTTATTAATACAATGTAAAAATTGCTAGAATTAAGCTAATTGCAAATGTTGAGAGTGATTTTAATGAATATTCCCAAAGAGTTCTTTAAACTTTACACAGTTAGAAATGCACTGTGGTCTTGGAAAATAACTTAAGATTAAAGTGAAAAATGTGCTTGTACTCATCCTGGGACTGTTTCTCTAGTAACTAGGAGTGGGAGGTATTAGACCAAGACCTGAACCTAAATAAGAACTAGCTAACAATTATTGAAGAGTTCATTCACTAAATAAAGAAAACCAAGATTCCACTTACTAATTTACTAAATTTAAGTTAGGAGGGGTTTACTAGTAATCAGATTTTGTTCTTTATCCTTTCTTATCTTTCACTTATTTTTTAGAATGAAGCACTGAAAAGTGAAGAAGGCTGCATTCCAAATATTGCCCCTGACATCTGCATAGCTTATAAACTGCACCTGGAGTGTAGCAGGCTAATCAACCTTGTGGACTGGTCAGAGGTAGGTCAGAGAGAAAAAAGAAAGCTGTATATAGAATATATAGAATATTTTTATACTTTCAAGCTCATCTTTTACCTTTTTTAATGCCTTGGTTTTATTTGGAAAGCATAAATTGCCTCATACTTCAAAAGTTCTTTAGCAATCCTCACTCCAAGTCTCCTGCTCTCTGATCCTTCATTCTTCAAATGAAGCCAATTCCATATTCATGCTAGGTCAAAATAAGTTATGTGATCTAACCTTAGTACTTGCATTTAAGCAAAGCTAAGCAGTTAGGTCAGTTCTGTGGTATTCCACAAAATATAGTATTAACTAGCATTTCCTTACTTTCATGAAAAAAAATTGGAATGATTGTGCAATAGATTTAGCAATCAGGAAATATAAGGAATACTTGGCGGGGTTTGGGATGTGGCTCAAGCGGTAGCGCGCTTGCCTGGCATGCGTGTGGCCCAGGTTCGATCCTCAGCACCACATACAAGCAAAGATGCTGTGTCTGCCGAAAACTAATAAATAAATATTAAAATTCTCTTTCTCTCCCTTAAAAAAAAAAAAAAAGGAATACTTGGCAAGGAAATGGACAACTCTTGTTATTCTTTAAAATAACTCTTTTTTTTCCCTCCTCAGCATAGTATTACAATTAGCTGCTTCCAAGAAAAATAGGCATTTTCCATTTTCCTGGGTTAAGGGAGATTTGGGAGTAGAGGATACAGGACTCTGCCTTTTAACATTAATTTGCTTTGTTTCTTGTTTTTCTTTGCCTACTTCTTACTTCTCAGAAACAACATTATTAAGGAGTCATTACCTTGTACTCTTTTAATGTATAACTGATTTAAAATGATCAGGGAGTATAATTCTGAAAATCTGAAATTTGGTTTAACGAAAAAAGAAATATGCTAGCTATTAGCAGCAGCAACAGTATTATTAAGCCTGGCTTAATTATACTACCATCAAAGAAAATGTAGTAAGAGATATTTGGCAACTGTGGAGATTTTTATTTTCTTCTGTCTTATGTACTCAAAAGGCTTTTGCAACAGTTGTGACAGCTGCTGAAAAGATGGAATCAACTTCTGCAACTACAGAAGAGATGAATGAAATTATCCAGTATCCTTTTAAAATCAATTCCACAATGTCCAGCTACAGAGTGTAAGTTCATCCTTTCTCAGGCTTAGAGGTAAAACATGCAAGAGGACAAGAGTTTAATCCCCAGCCTCAAAAAATAAAGTTTAGTTTCTCCAGGTCTATATTGTAGATTCATAAGGACATGTTAATATTAACCATACCATTCTAAGAATAACTTAAATTTGTAAATATTCTGAATTTAATCTACAATGAGGTCAAACCCATATTATTTGGTCTCAAATTTATGTTATTTCAAAGTTTACCAAAAAAAGAAACCATCATTATTGAATTTTAAGAGAATTTTTTTAATATTTATTTTTTAGTTTTCGGCGGACACAACATCTTTGTATGTGGTGCTGAGGATCGAACCCAGCGCCCCGTGCATGCTAGGCAAGCATGCTATCGCTTGAGCCTCATCCCCAGCCCCAATGAATTTTCTACTTTTCTATTGTACTTTTAGAAGTTGTGGGGAGTAGCAATTTTTTTTGTGGGGGCGGGGGGTACCAGGGACTGAACACAGGGGCACTCATCCACTGAGCCATATCCCCAGCCCTATTTTGTATTTTATTAGAGTCAGGGTCTCACTGAGCCGCTTAGTGCCTTGCTGTTGCTGAGGCTGACTTTGAACTTGTGATCCTCCTGTCTCATCCTCCTGAGCCACTGGGATTACAGGTGTGCGCCACCGCACCCTGGAGTAAGTAGAAATTTTTATACTATGTGAAAAATTAGATTTGGGTGCTTTCCATTAATGTCTTATTGACAATAGATTCTAATTACATGTAATGTTTTCCAGTAAGATTTATAGTGTAATTTAGGAAAAATGTTTTTCAGCTATGTATTAGTTTGCAAACTAATATTTTAACATTGAAATTTTAACCTTTTTGTCAAAAATAGAACATGGCCAATTTCCTTAGCTAGAATTTGCAGTGCTCGGTTTATTAGAGCTGTTTCTGAACTAGAACTTTTAGGATTTATAAAACCTACCAAACAGAAGACTGACCATGTAGCAAGGCTAACATGGGGAGGCTGTTAGAATGCAAATGAATGAAGCCAGTTGTGTCGCGTACCTTAAGGGCAGAAGGAGACTACTAGTCATATTTACATGCCATTAGAGACTGCTGAGAAGACAATGTGTAGCCCTCCCTTTTGGTGTTTAACCAGAAAGTAGAATTTTAATCTCAAGCAGGTTTATATCAAAGAATCTTTGTAATATTTTAGAATCTAACAAACATGCTTGCATTATATCTAAAACCTCTCATGAATTATCATTGTACAAAATCACTAAACCAAATCATTCTTGGACTTATGCTGTCTAAATAGAATAAATTTCTTTATCCAGTAATGTAAAGTATTTGTAATTGGTATACATTACAAATGTATCTTGTTCCTCTATTTTTTGCATTGGCTTTCCTCATTGGTATATTGTACAGTAAGTCATAACATAAATATCCTGCAAGTTCGTTTCTTATCTTTAGAAAGACCATTCATTACCACAGTAGCATTGATCAGGATAGTATCTTACTGTCTTCACCTCAGGTGCCAAAACTTATTCAGCAAAATGTAAACACTTATGCATAGGTATAACAGTACTGTCAACTTGAAAGTTAAGAACTTGTGATATACAAAGTGTAAACTAAAAAAAAAAATACTTATCAAAATCCTGGAATCGGGGCATGAAGCAGATTCTCCAACAAATGGACATGTTGAAGATAATCAACTTTGTTTGTGAAATGCATGAGTTTCTATGATTTATCTTTAAGCAATTACCCACCCAGGCTTTTTCTGATATTCTAGTCATTTTCCTCCAAAGAGCCCTCAACTACATTTTTTTTATTGTTTTTAAACAATGGGTAGTAAAAATCTAGGTAAACAATGTACAAATGATTTTAAGGATTTTTCATCTATTGCCTCTTTGAGGCCATCAGCCATGAGGCAGGTTTCCCAGTATTCCCATGTTGTATTAATGAGGACACCATTAATATGTACAGTATGGTTTCCTGCAGCTTTCAGATGACAGATGAGCACCAGATGAAATTTAGAAAACTTTAAAACACTCATATCTTACAGTATAAAATTACTAGTCTTAAGACTAGCAAATTCACATCTGTCTGAAAGCAGATTTCCTGAGATGAAAAAGTAACCCTACTTTAATTTTGCTATGCACTTACTGAATTCGTGCAATCTAAATGTATATCATGCACTGAACCATGTTGAGGTAATAAATCCACAGTCAAGCTCTGGGGCATGCCTATGAATTTATTAATGTTTAGGGAAATTAAGAGTGGGCAAAAGAAGACTGAGCAGCAGCAGCCAATAGAGGAAAATCGGGCAAGTGTATTATCTTACAAGCCAACTGAAGAGTTTCAAGGTTGAATGCTGTTTATGATTAGACTTCAAAAATCTTCAGTGACTTAATATAGGCATCACCTATCAGATCAGATAAGCATGTGTCCAAAATTGACACTAATCCTGGAAAGGCCATACATTGTATAGTATCAACTTTTGTTCTGACACAGAAGTTTTAACCTGAAAATTAAAATTTTTAGGCCCAATTCCTAGCCTACAGTTATTTCAGATGCTTAGATTAAATCATCAGTGGTAGCACAAATATTCAAAAAGGGCCTGGGTCTTCCCAGTTAGACTCTTGATTGAATCCCAAGGGTGAACGGACTAATAAAAAAAACTTACATTGACAAATGGGAGAACCTCAATGTGGATATAAGTATTTCAAATAGGGTAATGGTATCAAGTTTATTTGTGTAGAAGTACGTGTTTTTATGAGATGCATTTTTAATAGCTTTTACACGTCAGACTATTCTTTCAACTTTTCTGTGTTTGAGCTTTTTCCTAATTAAAAAAAAGTTGGTGAAAGCGGGGAGAGGCAGTAAATCGGAAGATGTTTAGAAAAATTTTGAGTTTAGCTTAGTAACAGTAAAATAGAGTAATAGCTGGATGAGGAATATAGGATCAAAAGGTTTTTAATAACATTTTCTTTATTTGGGAATGATCTACAAGAGAGAAAACGGATGCAGGAGAGAAGATAGCTGGAACTGTGTCTTTGAATTAGATGTTTGTATGTGATGCGAGTTTGTATGTAATTCTTACATAGTACTAATGCATCACAGAGTAGACAGGGATAAAATTCGGCTTTAGCAGAATATTCACTTTTATTAAAACTAGAGCAGAATAGTGGAACAACCCAAATGAAGTAGAGACAACTGTTTCCAACTCTAGCTGCTTGGATCATATCTGTAAAATGTATTTTACCAATTCCAGTGGTCTTCCTTTCCTAGGTCTTCTAATGCAGTTTCTACGGGTGGAGCCTTACGATCTTTTTTTTTAAAAAGAAAGCTCTTCAGGTAGTATTGTAAATGCAATCACTGTCTGTTTAGAAATCATGTTCATTAGTCATGTCAAAGTCTTGATATTTTAAACCTCCGATATTTATTTTTTTCAAATGCCTATTTTTCCTCAACAATACAAAGAATTCTACCTTATTTGTACCCTTGTTAATCACATTCACTCAACAGAGTAAGGCAAGTATGGCTCTATATCATAACTGCCTTTTACTAGAATAATGACATAGTACACTGAATTATGTGACTACTAATTATGAGGAATTTCAGGTCTCTTTGGGAATTAAGAATCCCTAGGTAGCTAATACAGTTCTTTTCACTGAGATAAATTGGTATATGGACTATAGTAAGTAAATCAACTACTGAGTCCACATAATTTTAACTAAATCCAAGAATCCTGTACATTAACTTTCTTGAATTCTCTTAGACTACTACTTATTTTAAATGTAAGATAGAACTTTTTGGTAAGATAATAATGCAGAAATTTAGCTGTGAAGGAAAATTTAATGAAGTTATATCTAAAATTGAAACTCTTATGACTTTTCAGATTGCCAGCATTTCCAAACATAAAACCCAGCTGTTAACAAATTTTTATCAGTGAAAATTCACTAATGCTTATTTAATAAAAGAATATCCAGTTTTGTCCTAAGGTTAACAAGGTTTGTTAAAGCATGTTTACATTCACTGTATTCCCATGCCTCCATATTTTAACTTACTGTTTGCACTTTCCTAACAAATGTTACCCACTAAACTGGTACTTCTTGGCTGGAACTTAGTAATGAGACATATGGTCGTCACAACTTGAGGAGGGTAACTGGCATCCAGTGGTCGAGGCCCGGGGATGTTGTTTGTTAAACACAGGTACAATCCCAAGATAGATCTGGCTAAAATTGTCAGTAATGCTGAGATTGAGAATCATAGTACTAAACCATTACCTTTTAAAATTCTCGAAGAATTGGTGAAATACAATTGCTAAAATTAAAAAGAAAAAACTTTTCCCTTGTTCTACTAACCGAATCACTTACAAAGGTTTATGTTCTAGTATATTTAGGATTTGGGTAATCAGCGGAAATACACTGTTAGTTTTCAACAGATTCACTGAAGCATTTTTTTTTTTTTTTTTGCTCACTTATTGAAAGAAAGCTGTGTCTAGAAGCCACTCAGGGAAAGTGAGTTGAATTTGCTGAGTCATGCTTTCTTGCACAAATATCAAGTCCTTAAAAAAAAAAATTGGATTCTATTGATGCATTTTAGGTAAAAATTCTAGAGCTCTTAGAACTATCTATGAGGTAATATATTATTATGCAGAAAATTACAGAAGTAATTTAGAATCACAACGCAACTTTTTGAAATAGCACTCAAATTTTAAATCTTACCAGAAAAATTCACTTAATTGAGTCCTGGAAAATGCTTACATTTAAAACACTGGCTTTATTCAAATACTACCCATTTGTACATTTAAAAAACAAGCAGGATAGAAGTAAATGTTTTATTCTTCCAACTAAATTCCAGTACTACAAGGGCAGTAAAACAATGATACACTGGAAAAAAAAATGCAGCAATAAACATTTGTTAAAAAGACTGATAGAATAAATAAAACTACCAAAAAAAAAAAAAGGAAAAGAAAAATCATATAAACCCATTCTGAAACCCCAAGAAGTCCTGGAATACAGAAATGCCCTCCTCCTTCACTATTTGACAGGAAGTACTGTAGGCTATTTGCTCAATATTGTCCTGGGATTACATTCTAAATTATTAATAACTGGTTACAGTTTGGTTGTAGTGCACAATTAAAATCACACTAACTTCATCTGAAGTGTCATTCTACAGTTTTATTTACACAACCAATGAAGGGCATGTTCTAGAATACCAGCTTTAATCCTTTTCAAACATATTAATATGAGAAGCCAAATTGTAATGATACAGCAAAGTGAGGCCACTGGTATTAATACAGGTAGCAAAGGTCCACATCCAGGTGGTACTGACAGGGAAATTTCCAAAACCAGTTGCTGCTGCCTAAGAGTGGTTGCCACTGACGAAAGCTTGACATAACCTGCATTCACAGGGAATATTGGCATTGTTGCATGTCGAAATTGGGACCTCCTGCAACAACTCAACAAGAAATAAGGCAGCCCACAATTGCAGAAAACTTGATTCATGAAACATCTAGAAAGGGGAGAAAAGGAAAATTAGTGCAAAGAACAGGTCAAAATTTAAATATTTTCATAACAAAATTAAAATACATTAGATATTTGTTCCAGATACTGCCCCTAGATAATTAAGTGAGCCTTACAAAAGTTTTGTGCTTATTCCTTCCAGGCTTTTTCTCTATCATTTTCTGTTAAAAGTGTATTCTTGAATACAAAAATAATTATTTTCTCTTTAATAGATGTTTTTGTTTTCGATTTATAATTCAAAGGCAAGTACTTACAACTAGCAGGCTGTTCTCCATATCGTCGCATTATCTGATCATGTGTAAACTTCACAAATGCATCATACTGTTCTATAAATAAAGGGACATGTCCATCACATGACTTGAAAATGGCCTAATAAAATCAGATAACTCTACAAGTAGAAAATATCTGAAACAATTCAAAGTTAACACTCACATAATAAACTCAGTATAATAGTGTATCAGACAGCATTAAGCTTAGGATATAACCAAAGTTTTATTTTAAGTTGTCTATGAACATCAATTTATTACAGTGAGAGGAAATATGTCAACAAAGCCTAACCAAAAAAAAACAAAAAACCTGTGTTTTCTAATCAGATATCTCAAGAAAAAAATTATTATGAGCAAATTAATAGCTATAATAAAAATCTGGAGCTTAAAGTTAGAAACATTATGATCAAATTACCATACATTAGATATTTCAAATATTTACATTGATAACAAAGTTATTGGGGGGCTGGGGATGTGGCTCAAGTGGTGGCGCCCTCGCCCAGTATGCGTGCAGCCCAGATTCGATCCTCAGCACCACATACAAAGATGTTGTGTTGGCAAAGAACTAAAAAATAAACATTTAAATTCTCTCTCTCCCTCCCTCTGTCTTTAAAAAAAAAAAAAGTTATTGGGGCTGGGGATGAGGCTCAAGCGGTAGCGGGCCGCTGGGTTCGATCCTCAGCACCACATAAAAATAAAGATGTTGTGTCCACCAGAAACTAAAAAAAAATTTAAAAATTCTCTTTAAAAAAATATAACAAAGTTATTGTGAAAGATATAAATCCAAAAATCCACAACTAAACAAATAGTAATAGCACAGGATTCGTATGTGAAAAGAAAAATATAAAATCACTAATACTGTTGCTAATCTACAAAACTCTTTCCTGAGGTCACTAAGGTGGTACATAGCTAGAAGGCAGTTGATGTCCTTTATTAAAATGAAATTCCTTGTTCCCAGAAAACATGTGTACCAGTGTACAGAACAGTGTAATTTAACTGATACAATGTACACATGGGAAATAATGCACTGCTTACAATGAGCTTCTGAGGTAACTCTAAAACTCATGTGTTACCTGCAAGTTTTGTGTTCAATATTTCTTCATACTCCTCTCGAACTTTCTCTTCGCGTTCTTTCAACAAACGTTCGCAGATCATCCCAACCTGCCTTAGAGTAAATAAGGGCTGTTCTTTTTTTAATGGTGAGGATGTTGCAGATGAAGTCCCTATATACAATGTGAACAAAAATACCTGATGATTTAGGGCCATGATAGTATGCATCTTCTATCTAAAGAGATTTCATCTAGATATTTTTGATAGTGATATTAAATCCTATTTTAAAATCAGTTTTTAGCATAGGATTTCCCAAGCAGTCTAACAACAGGTTTAAAAGCAATAATAATTCTATCAGCTTCAGACTCTACAAATAGCATGAGGTAATAAAATATAAGGAGAAAATTCTCAGATGAGTGGACAAAGCTTTAAAACATTACAGTGACGGGTGAGTCCCATTATAAAACTTAACTCCATTCTAGCACATATCCTACCATAAAGGGTTTTAGTGAACAGATTACAAACTTTCCAAAAAGAAATAATTTTATATTAAGAGTTAACAAATAATTACATACTTAAAAAGACATTCAGTAAGTGTCTTACAAGAAATTGGGGATTATTCCACCGTTTTTATACAAGTATCAAACTCTTCTAATTTAGAGGGGATTTTCCATCATTTAAAAAAAAAAGATTTTTTTTACTGGCACAATAAATCCTCTATAATTTTTTTAAAAGTACAGCATGATCCCCTTTATAGAAATTTACTCTAGAGAACATTCTGGAATCTAGATATGGCATTATCAGAGAGTGAAATAGTTCATATAAAGAATTTCTTAAGAAATGCTTTCCTCTTCAAGAATCACTTAAGGTACTTTGATCTCCCAAAAACATCACTCCCAGCTTAAAAGTATTGACATTTATCTTTTTGAGAACTCAGGTTTACAATGGCCATCTGTTACATCATTGCAAGTACTTTATAAACACACAAGCACACACACATCTGCTGTCAACTGTTTTCATCTTGCTTTGTGTGCCCCCAGTGCCTCCTATTCCTCTCAATTCTCTTGCTCCTTACAACCTGCATGGCTAGGACCAGTTAACTGTATTTATTACACCCATTATCTATTACCAGAGTAAAGTATACCAACTTTAGTTCATAATTACTATCTTACTTTCAAATTCCCCCTTTGTGAAGGCTGCCTGTTAACTGATCATCTAAGAAATAAATTGACAATGAAATGATAATGATCTTGGTCTCTCGTTGATACAGTCTAGGTCCCACCCTCACCTCCTCTTACCCTGGGGATTCACCCACTCGCATCTGGTCCCCAATACTGGGGGGCGGGGAGGTGTTACTACCATATTTAATTTCAACTTTCCTGATCTAATTCTATTTGATTATTTTATGGCTTTGAATGTTCGAAGAGCCACTTTTGATGGCTCCCTTTCAGCCAAAAAGCTTCAGCTTCCCCTATATACTTCAAACAGCCCTTATTTTTTCTGCCTTTAAAAAATAAAGTTTATCTGCAAATAAATAAGTCCCTCTAACAAGATATGTTAAGAATTCACCTTCAGGAATCCATCCCAATAAAACAAATGTATGACAATTATGTATACAGGGTTATTTCTTTAAATCCTGTTAACAGAAATTCGTAATTGACAGTTAAGTAATCAAGGAAAACCATAAAAGGGCAGAGCATCCGCCATGCAAGTTACCTAATAAAGCATAAGCTATACTGTTAAATTTTCTTTAAAATGGAGGCTAGGTGATTGTCTTTGGTTAGTGGGAATCCAGGTTGTGATTACTTATTTTGTACCATATTTTTAAGATATTTTTCATTACACACATGCCTATACACACATTATTAATCTTGGGGGAGAAAGGAGCTTGATTTTGGATTAAACTTTCCCCATAGTGAATAATATTTCTTTTCACGTATTAAAGTTTACTGTTACCTGGTGAAGCTGGTCCACTGAGGAGAAATGCATGTGGCTGTGCATCAGAACTACAACCTGGATCTGTCTGTTGGAAACTAGTTTCTAAATGTCTTCTCTTCTGCATACGTTTATACTCTTGTTTTATGTTGTACAGAATTTGTTCTAAAAGAAAGAGTTAAAATTTGGCAAGATAAAAACTTTGAAGTTAAAGAAAGGTCAGCTTTCTAACAATTATTTAGTAGGTCCAATCTATCCAAATATCCCATTCAGATATTACAGAAAACTGATATTTTTGGAGGTATTCATTTCAGCACATGTTGAGACACTTGCTCAAAAACATCACATATACACATCACCTGGAATTCAGCTATTCAACAGAAATACTTCTTTGAACACTGACTAGCAAAAAAAATAAGTTTCTGTTCCAAATAATGGTCAGGGAGTACAAAAACATTCTTAGGAGTACCAAACTCAAGCTCATTTATTCATCACATTTAGCACTATTAAATGAAGATATACTGCCAAGCCCATAAATAATTAAAAGAGGGAGGATTCTGTATACTCAACACACACTGGTGAGAAGTAACAGTAGGTGGGTACTAAAATATCATCATATATAAAATAGTTATGGCCATTAATATTAAGCTGGGAAGAACCTACAAATATTCCAGCATTAACAGTAAATAAAACACTCTCAATCTCTGGGGAAAAACATTTGTAGAGTATAACAGGCTCTCCTAATAAATAAGTACTACTATACCACAATGCAGTTATATTTAATCACAGCTATTAAAATAGGTAAAATTTATCCTGTGTGTCTTTAAGTCAGTATGATTTATTTCAGAAAGAGTTCTAATTCAAAATAGTTACCATTTGGCCTCTCCAAAAAGTTCCTAAGGTTTCCACTACCCCCACTGCTCCCAAATTAATAAATTTTCTATGCTTACTAATCCTAATCCAAAACAAGATTAAGCAAAAATGAAACTGCAACAACTTAATAAAAAGTTCATAGTACAGTATAACTTTTAACATTTGATTGTACAGTGAAGCTTTTAAAACATGAAAACTTCCCTAAAGCATTATTTTAACTAGAAAAAAAAAGCTGCAAAAGATAATTTTTTGTAAACAAAATGTTTGTACATGAATTTGTGGTTTAAATACAAAAGCACACATTGGAATGATTTAGCTTCAGTTTGGTTGTGTTGGCTTTAGTATTTAACATTTTTTTAAGGTGTTCACATTTTGTTTAATATGGGTTATGTTACTTTCAGTCTTCCATTTAGGTGAAATAGTTCATAATTTTAAAATGAAGTTAACCAGTGTGAATTAAAATTACTCTCTATTGAATGATAAGTTTACCCAGATATAAATGGGTTTCCTAATATTCATCAGAGGTGTCAATAAAACTAATACAACATACTTTATTAATCAGGGCAAGCATAAATACTTTTTTAAACAACAGAACTCCTTTCAGTAATAATATTCTAAAAGGTTTTAAAGGTGATATTTTGATCTCTGATGATGACAAGCAGCAAGTTTCACTCACTTATCACTTTCTGTTCAAAGCTAGTGCTAACAACCTGATCAAATGTATCATTCAGTGCATCTTAAATTTTATTCACAACCAAAGACTTAAGGAGCTACTAGCTCAGAATAACTTGACTTTAACATCGACCTTTTGTGTGACACATACATATGTATATATTCACTGATTATTACACAGCCATTCTCAGATTACTTCAGCCCTCCTTTGCTGCTGGCTTCACACCCAAATCAATGAAAGCACAACTAAAATATATGGAAAGAATGTCTGCAACAAACCCAAGATTACAATACAGTAAATTTTTTTGAAATTTAGCTTTGTAAACCTCCACATCACCTGATACTTAACTGACATCACTAACAAGAATTTTAAGGTATAATTTACAAATGACAGAATTCACCAATTTAAATGTATGATTGAGTTCAGACAAAGTACATACAGTCTTGGAACCATCACGACCTTCATCACTCCAAAAGTTTTCTCAGGCTCCTCCTTTGCAGTTAATCTCACACCCTCCCCGACCCCCCCCACACACACACACACACAACCACCATTTGCCAACACTCAACTTGTTATTACAGCTGGCCCTCTGTATCCATGGCTTCTGTATCTGTAGATTTAAACAACTAGAGAGCAAAGTATTTTTAAAAAATAAAGCTGTACAGGTAGTACATTTTCCTTGTCATTATTCTCTAAAAAAACATAACCGGCGGCTGGGGATGTGGCTCAAGTGGTAGCGCACTCGCCTAGCATGCGTGCAGCCCGGGTTCGATCCTCAGCACCACATACAAACAAAGACGTTGTGCCCGCTGAAAACTAAAAAATAAATATTAAAAAATTCTCTTTAAAAAAATAAAAATAAATAAAATAAAAATAAAAAACATAACCTAACAACTATTTACATAGATTTTACATTGTATTAAGTTCATATGTTTGAGATTCATTTATGTTGAATGAATCAGTAATTTCTTTTTATTTTGTGGTGTATACACGTATGTACTAATTTATCCCATTAAAGGACATTTGGATTCTTTTCAATTTAGGGCTATTATGAATATTCATGTACCAGTCTTAGGGTGAACATATTTTAATTTTTCTTAGGTAAATACCTAGGAATGGGGTTGACTTCATAAGCAAATGGTTTTAGTTTGTAAGAAACTACCAAAATGTTGGGGGCTGGGGATGTGGCTCAAGGGTAGCGGGCTCGCCTGGCATGTGTGCGGCCCGGGTTCGATCCTCAGCACCACATACAAAGATGTTGTGTCCACTGAAAACTAAAAAATAAATATTAAAAAAATCTCTCTCTCTCTCTCCCTCTCTTTAAAAAAAAAAAACTACCAAAATGTTTTCCAGAGTGATTTTACCACTTTGCATTCCTACCACCTTAACTGTATTAAGAGTTCCAGCTGCTCTACATCCTTGCCAACACTTGATACTGTCAGTTAAAGAGCTGAAGAACTTTGAATGCTACTGCCTGCCTGTACTGCTTTTCACATCTAATATGATGCATCTATGTCATCTAAGCCACACTGTGCCCTCAAATGTTCTAATACTGGTAACGTGTTCTACAGTGTTATGCAGAAAAATTGTCCATTTTAACTTGGCCAAGATCTCAGTAGCACAAGTCACAAATAGCTAACTACAAGCCTCAAGCTCACAGGTTCAAGGGTTTAAACTGTTTTAACTGTTTTAAAGATGATTAACTCAAGAAATGTTCCCAGATTCAGTATTTTACAACTCATATTGATAGGCCAAACCTAGATATTTGACATAAGGTGCTACTAGACCAGCTTGATGAATGCCTTCCATACTTGTCTACTTAAGCTATTTAGATCCATCACTCCAAAAGTTCTCTCAAGCCATCTCTTATCAAACTAGCAAGTTTATGCACATTTACACACTCTAAGTATTATATTCTAAGAATATGCAACATTTGACACTGTGTTGCCAACACACAGTCCATTTAAAAAAAAAGGCAAAGCTTCATTTGCATTATCAGCTGCTAAAATCTCAAAAACCTTACTCTTTTATCATAAACTATTAAGTGAAAGAGCAGCAAATTCTGACTCTGGGATTTTCATCCATCAATCTAGTAAATGCTGCTAAGATTGCTAATAAAAGTCCCCTCCTTAATAGGTAAGTCATATCAATGAGTCAGCACTTATTCCTTTGCAATATATATATATATATATTTTAATTTAGGTGAATGGAGGTGGGGCCTCAGGTGGGCACAGTGACACAAATCTATAGTCTTGGCAGCTGAAGCAGGAGTTCAAAAGCCAGCCTCAGCAACAGCAAGGCACCAATCAACTCAGTGAGACCTGTGACTAAATATAAAGTACAAAACAGGGCTGGGGATGTGGCTCAGTGGTTGTGTGCCTCCGAGTTCAACCCCTGGTACACTCTCACCCCCCAAAAGCCTCTTTTTAGTTTCCACTGATGCCTTAAAATCCCTGGATATAATGAATAAGATTTTTTTTTAAGTTTTTTTTTTTTTTGAGAGAGAGAGAGAGGAGTGAGAGGGGAGAGAGAGAATTTTTAATATTTATTTTTTAGTTCTCGGTGAACACAACATCTTTGTTGGTATGTGGTGCTGAGGATCGAACCCGGGCCGCACGCATGCCAGGCGAGCGAGCTACCGCTTTTGAGCGAAATCCCCAGCCCCAATGAATAAGATTTGACAATCAAACATGAGAAAGTAGTTATGGGATTTAAAAAAAAAAATTGAACAGCTGAATTGATGAGAATAAGAAAAACAGTATCAAGATGGGACTGGTTCAAGGCAAGGAGCTTGGATAGAGAAACAACTAAAAATGTTTAAAGGAGTACCACAAATTGGGGAAGAGAGAAGTGACAAATACCTTTCTAGGATCCATGAATTTAAAAAAAACAAAAGTATGTGAAATTCAATTGTACTCCAGACCCATAAAGCTTTAATTTCCGACTGAAATTACTAGCTCAAACATTAATGTTTCATGAGCAGTTTGAAGTTTATATGTATGAGATAACCTTTTATATCACTTTGATTGGCATTTATTTCTCTAGGAAGTATCTTTGGGGTAAAAATGAGTATCTAGGCCCCTCCTCAAAAACAAGACATTAAAAAAAAAAAAAAACTAAAAAAAAAAAGGTCCTGAAAGTTTGTCATTTCTAAACAGGGATACAAATAAGAAATCTGTACACAATTAAGTTCAGAAAATCTACAGTAGCCATAAAGACCAAAAACTAAGAAATTGTTTCAAATACAGTAATAGAACAACTCTGTAGTTTTGAAATGCATATCATACATTGTCGTGTCCACTTTGTAAATTAAAACATATACAAATGGAGGTTACTATGGGGATACACCTTCAAAAACCAGCTATTTTCCCAGGAACATCTGTTTAGAAACTAAAGCAATTCTTATATTCTTGGATCTGGAACCAAATTCTAACATCACATAGTCAATGTACAGCTAAAATTTTAACCGCTATCTAAATTAGCATGAATCTTACTACTTACAGGTATCTTCTCAAATAGCTTGCAAGCTAAGAAATTTTAAGTCCGTGAATAGGGAAAAGAAAGGAAATTGAACCATTCAAAATTCAAAACCCAAAGTGTGCATGCTACAGAAAACATT